GGTCGAGTACAAACCAGGACGACTTAATGTCGTCGCTGATGCCCTCTCACGTCGTCCCGACTTTGAAACAGTCGCGAAACCCAACAGTGAGACAGTCACTGTTGCGGTTATGACGTCCTCAGTCCCATCTACAACGTTGTATGATGATGTGAGGCGGGCATACGCCCAAGATGGTGAGATTGTAAAGTTGTTGACACATCTCTCACAACCATCTCGAGAATCATTGAAACGATTATCGTCTGCGTATCGATCTGCATCAGATCGATCCACTACTCGCGACGGCTTACTGTATTATACAGCCGTCACTGGTGACACACCACGTGTTGTCATTCCAGATGATACTGATCTGCGTTTGCGGATCATGTTCGAGTATCACGATGCTCCTATAGGAGGACATCGTGGCCGTGAGAAAACATATCTCACGGTGAATCGAGACTTTTACTGGCCCCGCCAGTATCAGTTTGTGCGAAAGTATGTTCGCGCATACGAAGTCTGTCAACGAGTGAAGTCAAGTCCTTCACTGCGTGCACCTTTACAGCCTCTACCAGTTCCGGCAGAGTGCTGGGAATTCTTCTCAATGGATTTCGTCTTCGGGTTACCCAAAGACACACGCGGGAATACGGGTATCCTCGCATTTGTTGACAGATTCAGCAAAATGGTCCACCTTATGGCTGTGCCCGAGTCAATCACAGCAAGTGGCTGTGCTTGCGTCTTTATCGACACCATCTTCCGACTTCATGGGTTGCCCCGTGAACTCGTATCAGACAGAGATCCACGATTCACTGCTGATTTCTGGCGTTCCGTGGTCAAATCACTCGGAACGCGCTTGAGGATGTCGACATCTGATCATCCAGAGTCAGATGGTCAGACGGAACGCGCCAATCGTGTCCTTAAAGAGATACTTCAAGGATACGTACACTCCTTTAAGAGTTGGAGTGAGTTCTTGCCAATGGTAGAGTTTGCCATTAACAACTCGGTGAATGCGTCCGCGACACATACACCGTTTTACGTGAATGGCTTACGCCATCCGCGTGTACCCACCTTACTAGAGTGTAACTCTAATTTAAGGGGGGGAGAGACTCGCGCGAGCAAAAAAACGATTTGGTTCACGCTCATCACGCTCTGACGATGAGTTCATTGCGTTTGATGCCGATATCGACAACATCTATATCGAAGTAGATGATGCCAGTGAGAGTGCGGAAGCCCTCACTAAAGAAGATGATGCCAGTGAGAGCTTCCTCGCTCTCACTGAAGAAATGATTGATATTGTTGCAGTTCACTCACAGCGCACTGAATCTAACGAGCCATCAGATGAATTCATACTGGCTCGTGAAAAGGTAGTCCGTTTTGTGCAAGACTCCATCGCCGAAGCGGTGGATAAGCAAAAGCAAAACGCTGACAAGAATGGAAGGGCAAACACTCTTTTATTTGATAAAGGTGACTTAGTCCTACTGTCTACGGTTAATCTACCAAAGCATGTAGTGACTAACTTGGGTAGTAGTAAACTACAACCCAAGTACATCGGTCCATTTCGTTTATTGCATCGCCTAGGCAATGCATACACGATCGAGTTACCACGTAAGATGCGAACGCATCCCACGTTTTACGTTGGTCGGCTTAAGCCGTACCATCAGTACGCTGCTTCTTCCGATGAAGAACGCCCTTGCGCTCAAGCATCTCGCAGAGAGCCTTGTGTTCCCGATGGTGGATATCAAAAAGGGTCTGAAGAGCAGTTATCTCAGCCGAGACCGGTCAATATCCCCACGAGCTACCCTTAGCTCGTCACGAAGAGATGTCAAAGCTCTCTCGTTCTCAAAATGAGCAAAAGTTTACTCAGCTCGATGCTTCAAGACAGTGTCCGCCAGTTGATGACGCCTCTCCCGCTCATGCTCGAGGTCGTCGCGTAATGCAAGAGTTACGCGATCAAAGATGCTCTCGGAGACACACGCTTCCCCACGGTAGATTGGAGAGCGTCTTCCCTCCTCCTCCACCCCCATTAGAGGACTCTCGCGGTGGCCAGCGCTATCTGGTTGAGCAGCTGTTGAACCACCGCGATGTGAACGGACGTCGGACGAGTTATCTCGTCCGGTGGCGCGGCTGTCCCCCGTCCTGGAATACTTGGGAGCCCCGCTCCCAACTGATGATCGACGTACTGGGTCTGGTCGAGCAGTACGACGTGGCACATCCTGTGCCGCAGAAGGACCGCCGGAGAAAGTCTTCCCGGCACGGTCGTAAAGGGATTTCAGATTGTCAATCCCTTCGTACATTTCAGCAGAGATACGTGCGCGCCACCACGGGCTAGTAAGGAGGTAAGCCTCCTTAGGTGATCGTGCAGAGTTGTTTACACAACATTGGCACGAGTCTCCCCAGGAGAGACAGGGTAACCCACTCTCCCTAGACAGACGATGCAGCTTGTAGCGTGCACCTGTCGGGGTTCGCTTTTCAAACTTATCACGAGCTTTGATAAGTTTGTCGTTCCAAGCGTCACGACCTACATCCTCGAGGTTATGGATGTAAGCGTTCCACGCTTGAAGCAGTGAGGGACCATCACGTTTGTGATTCCCACTGTACCATCGATGCTTAAAGAAAGCATCGATAAAGGACTCATTCCCAGCGCGATAGTTTTTCGCACTGAGGTCAAGGTGATGGATCCTTGACGAATCGAATGATCGTGTTCGATAGCGATCACTCGTCGTCGCCGACAAGTGATTCATGACGGACTTCGGAGGCAGCCATGCCTTCTTCTCGGGAGCAAGACGCAATACACTGCGGTCCCGCTCTTCTTGCGACGTGCCGACAGAAGTACTGGCACCTCGTTGCGAAGTGGTGTCAATAGGAGAACCGACACCACTGTGAGCGCCCGAGTCTCGCGACCTCGAGCGCCTTCGCTTCGGCGATGATTCATCTGATGAGCCAAAGATGCAACGACGCGTAGCATCATCCATACCACGCTTGGCAGGCGGCTTGGTTTCGATCGCCGTCGATACGGATCCGTCTTCTGTATCAGGAGAGTATGAGACACCGAGCTCGTACTCTGTGAAGACATGAGTGTCTTCATGACGAGCGCCTGCATCACCAGGTGACACAGACTGAGTCGCTTCAGCAACCGATGAGACATCAGTTGCTGTTGTTTCTGCTTCGGCGTCCACACAGGGACGTGCGGACGCGCTCTCGGCGGCTTTGCTCGCGCACCGCATGGGCTTGTTAACCATGCGATGAACTGTTGGAAAGTGGACGCGGACCAACAAGTGCAAACCCTGTCCCAAATGATTTGGGACGAGTATCCATTCAGTCAATCAGTCACTAAAGTGACTGATGGTTAAGGGGGGGGTGATGTAACGGGGTGAATCGTTACATAACAATTTATAAGAAATTGTTAATAGAATATAACTATAAGAGTTATATTCTCAGAATTTTGTCATAAGGACAAATATTCTGTAGCACTTACAAGTAGTTCCTAATTGGTTGATATAGGCCATTATATCAACCAACGAAGACGCGCCACGACAGACGCACGCAATGAGTGGTGAGCAGATAACTGATTTACACATTTGTATTTAGACATAGTTAGATGAAGATAAATAGTGATTTATTGCAGACATTAACTATTATAAATACAGTTCTACTTTTTACTCTAACCAAGTACTCGCTTCTTCTTAACGTCTTCCTCTGCACGTACCAGTGTACGTGAGGTTACGCGGCACCGCCTTATTCTGTCATCAGAATAAGTAGCTTGTACTGTCATCAGTACAAGCTTCAGGGTGCCCCATTACATGATCATTATCCTATGTTTTCGTCCGAACTTATCAAGTTTATTTACAAAAGTCCATGCTTAAGTCTTGCCCACCACTCATTGCGCGCATCCATCGTTGATTGGACCGCTAGAGCTGGCTGATATGAAGGCCCTTATCAGCCAATCGGTGAGTGCATCTGAATATTATCTCTGGTGGTAATATTCAGAAACATTATCAACCGTTATGATAACGTTCTGATCAACAAGTACCCAGGTTAGTTGCTTATAACACGCTCATCCCAATACAAAAAGCGGCATGATTGTCTTTCGGCCTGCGCAACCTTCATGCGCTAGCAGTGGTCAGGGTCGAGCAAGTTTACCTAGTGTTACCCTTCGAGTTGCCGGGCGTGTAACTGGGCACCCTGAAGCTTGTACTGGTGACAGTACAAGCTACTTATTCTGATGACAGAATAAGGCGGTGCCGCGTAACCTCACGTACACTGGTACGTGCAGAGGAAGACGGTAAGGAGAAGCGAGTACTTAGTTTAAGTAAAAAGTAGAACTGTATTTATAATAGTTAATGTCTGTTAATAAACACCATTTATCCTCATCTAACTATGTCTGAATACAAATGTGCATACCAACTATCTGCTCACCACTCATTGCGTGCGTCTGTCGTGGCGCGTCTTCGTTGGTTGATATAATGGCCTATATCAACCAATAAGGAGCTACTCGTAAGTGCTACAGAATATTTGTCCTTATGACAATATTCTGAGAATATGACTCTTAGAGTTTTGTACTATTAACAATTTCTTATAAATTGTAATGTAACGATTCACCCCGTTACAGGGCGAGTCTTCGGTGTGGCCGGCCGCTCGTTTTCCGAAACTTGCAAACCGCTTCTGTTGAACTCGTTGATCCTGCAGAGTTATGGTACTGACCAGCATTCGCGAGACCGACGGGTTGTTCAGCTTCGTTTACAATGTCGTGGTTCTCGGCACTGAAGTGAAATAAGCATGTGCTCTACGATCGATTGATCTTTTGGTACGCAGACGCGAATGTTAGACGCCTGCTCACCAACTTGCCCCTGCTGCTCATCACGAGTGCATATGTCAGGGTGGTACACTGATTGCCACGCACCGTCTGTCATGGTGGTACATGTATGTCAGTCTGAATATGAAACTATAAATTTCACAACACCAACTTGCGGCATGTATTATGCTAATACACGGACACCACGAAGTTCCAAGGCCGTCCAAGCGCGACATCACGATAGGAGAGTAATGCTCTCGTCACGGTCGCGCATTTGGCGGCGCAAATTGCGTTGACGCAAGGCAAGTAAACCAGCAACAGCTACTAGACCCAAGAGCAAGTAGCTTCCGATGTAGTTGGACGCGTGGAACTGGATATGTCCGTTGGCTGTCGTGGCCATCCGAGTTGACGACGCACCTTCGCTACTCTTCGCTTTCTCGGGCGGCTTGCAATCGTGCTCCGTGCGCTGGTTGCGAGCAAATGCAAACGCTTTGAAGAACTCGTCGATGCTGCAAAGAGCTGCAGTGGCAAACCAAGTAGTGCATAAAGTCAACAACCCGTTTACCTCGGCGTCTCTCCCTTCAAGAGACGTTGGCAGCCCAATTTCAACCACAGCACGTACTGTTACGGCAGTCAGGAAGGAGCTGAGGTTCTCCGTGGAAAACCATTCGAACAGCGTGCGAGCCTTTTTTGGTCTTGTAGACTTCAATCACCAGCATACTTGCGTACGGAGTCCAAGCACGGTCCCAGTTCTCCTTCATTGTTGCAGCCAAGAATGGCATAATTGTTGAATCGTGCGCTATAAGATAAATGTCAAGTCAGTATGAAGTATAGTGAAACTCAGAGATGCTGCATCTGTACCCATGGTGACAGAAAGCTTGGGCGTGTCCGATTCACCGTTGAGCACGCTATCAAGCCGAGTGAGCATGTCGTGGGCTAGCGGTTGCATCGCAACCTTTGCGTACCACGAATCATTATACGTCAGGAAAAGTCCTTGGCGCACCTCGACTTCGTGGTACGTCTTGGTGAATGTCTCCTCGTCCACTCCATCCGGCAGCTCAAGATTATTGCAGCGAGCCATGCTGAGACACTCTAGTGCCGTACCCCAGGAGAACTTGCCAACAAGATCGTTAAAGTGATGCTCGATCTCAATGGTAGCAGGGTCCCGAATATGGTCCCAAAACTCGGGACTATCGTTGGAGATCTGTCCAATGTGTTTCATAAGCGGGCAAATCTTTTCGTTGGCGTTGATATAGTCGACCGAAATATCTGCAACGTCCCATGAAAGCGTTCGATGAAGCTCCATGGACTGGCTGTCATCAATCGGGAAGAGTCCGTCGATCAGTGCTTGGCCGGATCCCAGCGTTCTCTCTTGGTCATCACTGCGGAGGTAGATCTTCTTCGACTCAATTTGCTATTGCCACAGTTACACATATTCGAAATGTAAGTGCGAAGCATTGTAGCACCGGCTTGAATATGGTAGGCGACGTACCGACAAGTTCGCCGTGGGGAAAAGCTTGAGGGAGCTGTTGCCCACGTATGCATTGCGCAAAAACCTACAGTACAAGACGTCAGTACTTGCTTTCATCAAAGCACAAAAATTCAACAGGCGTTAGCTACGCACTGTCCGTTTGCCTTGTGTTGCTGACGTCCCAGCTGAAGCAGACCGCCAACAATGCAGTCCCCATTGAGGATATTGTGACCGTCCATGTATGACTTGTGGTACATGCGCCCGAACTCGCTTCTCGGCTCTTTCTCTGGATTGATGTCCTGGAACTGTAGCATCCAGTACACAGACGTCAACTATCTGCCAATTCGATAAGCAAGCTGATCGATCCTCACGTACAGAGATGGAGGTGGAGGTACAGTTCCACTCAGCGTTCATGGGGTTGTGCTTGTGCGCGTCCCAGCAAAAGATCCTCCCATAAGGAGCGCGAGCTCCGTGGCGTGCAATAATCTGCACTTGCTCTAGGGACTCTACGAGCTCCAACTGCTCCGAGGATAGAGGTGGGATACGTGTAGCCTCGATGCTGTCCAAGTCATTGCAGTAGCGGTGCGGTGCCCAGCCATCGTACGGACCAGCCGTGACCTCCGTAGGAGCAGCAGCAGCAGCTACAATGACAGCTATGAGCACAGACAGTCGCATCCTTCTTCTGAGCTTCTGTCAGCTTCAGTGCGAGTCTGGCTTTGCACCGATCCAGTGGCAGGTGGGAGAGATACCGCTGGCGTCGCTTTGAAAAGGTGAGATCCACGACTTCTGTGGCCAGGTCGTGCCAATCAAAACGCTTGTACCTGATTCGCTCATCATTTGATTTGAGATGGTCGTTGGGTGTGAAGTAACGATACGAAAGTAGCACTTCCTTCCCCATCCCTACTTCGGTGCCACGTGAAAGGGGAGAACCTCCCCGTCCGTTACCATTCTTCGCACTTAAGCCTTGCCGCTGGAGGGAGCGGTCTTGAGCTTGTAGCGTTGCTGGTCTTGGAACAATCAGTTCGTGAACATGGAGAGCGGCTCTGAAGACGAAGACAACGTGCTGTCCCTGCGTGAGGAGCTGCGCGCCAAGACGCAGGCGCTCAAACAGGTGCAGGACGAGTTTGACGAGTACACCCAGTCCAGTCACGAGCTGGAGCAGGAGCTGGAGCAGGAGCTCTCTCGCGTGGAAAAGCGCAACGTCTTTCTGCTGAACAAGAGCCAGTACTTTGAGCGTGACCTGCAGCTCACGCGCTCCAAGTTGGACGAGGCGCTGGACCAAGCGCGCAAGCTCGAGGATGAGCTGCAGACCACGCGTGCTGAGCTCAAGAGGGCTTTAGAGACACGGTGTAAACTCGAGCAGCATCAAGATGACCTGGAGACGCAGGTACGTGTTTTGCAAGCCACGGAGAGTGATCTGAGGCACAAGATGGAGCGAGAGATCGAGGAGAAGGTGTTTCTGCTTAGTGATCAAGATGAGCTGCAGCACGAGCACGAAATGGCTGCAGAGCGGTTTCGTACGGAGATCATGGACCTTAAGTCGGAGTTGTATGCTCTTCAGCAAAAGTGCGAGGACGTCACGATGGCGTCCGAGATTCGTGGATCGGTCTCAGGAAATGATAGCGTGGCTACTACTCACAGCCAGTCAGAAGACGGTGATGAAGGCTATAACTCGGGCTTTAGTGAAAACTTTCAGTGCCGTACAACGGTGCAAGAGCGTGACGAGATGAGTCGTGAAGTACTCATCGAGTCGCTTCGAGAGGAGATTGAGGCCCTTTCTTCCGGTTTGCAGGATGAGACAGAAGCTCGCGCTGCGGCAGAAGCTGAGGTGCAGCAACTCCGCGAAAGCCTTGCGCACATGGAGGCTATGGAGGCAGAAATGACGGACATGACTGACGAACTGATTGGAAAATCTCAAGAAGTACGGGCTCGCGACGAGCAAATTGAGGGGATGCGTGAGTCTCTGCTGAAGCTTCAGTCTGAGATGGTAATGATCAACGACGGCGGCATTGAGTTTACGAACGAGCGTGAGAACTTGCAGAATGAATTGAAGAACAAGGACAAAGACATAAGCAGCCTAAGTGACGAGCTAGAAACCATCAAGTCACAATATGATGATCTTGCCGAGAACGAGCGCCAACTCCAGATTCGTCTCGTACACGAGAGCGAAGCTGTGGACGAGTTGAAGGAGCAGATTGAGACTTTGACGAAGAGGCTAGAGGAAAACAATCAAGAGCGCAGCGAGCTCGAGAGCAAACTACAGTGCGGAAAGGGTGAGATGTCGCAGAATCGGAGAGAGGTGGAAGACCTGAATAGCACAAACGTAGACCTTCGAAAACAGCTTGATGAATCGAACGAGAGGATATCCGAGCTCCAACGAGCCTCTGCCTTATTGACTGCTTCAACTGTGTCGCCGGCTGCCGACATGGCTGAATCTAAACGATTGAGGATGGAAATACAGACAATGCGGACGTCGATGAACTCTTTGTCAGCAGAAAATGCGCGACTGAGAAGTCAAGAAGGAATGTCTACTAGCGTAGCACCTGCGAAGCGTGTGTCAGCTGACGTTTTGCGAGTCAACTATACGCCAGAGCAGCTTGCACGAAAGTACATTGCGGAGCGAACGCGAAACGCTTCACTGCTTTCTCGTCTACAGACTGTATGCGGTAACATTCAAGTGTTTTGTCGTGTACGGCCGATTATCAATGAAGAGCTGGAGAAGGCATGGGGCTCCAAGTTGGCAGTTAACGTGGTAAACCAGTCCGATTTGGCTGCTATGGATGTCCGGTATGATCGTTTGTTGCCGAGTGACTCTGACGGAAAGGTGGTCAGTTGTGTCGACATGGATGCGCTGGCAAACAACAGTTCATGGAAAGTGTTTACGTTTGATCGAATCATGGGCCCTGAAGAGACGCAAAATGACGTTTTCCGTGAAGTGGAGCCAATTGCGCAGTCAGTTGTGGACGGGTTCAAGGCGTGTATCTTTGCTTATGGGCAAACTGGTTCGGGAAAAACATATACAATGGAGGGTACTCCCAGTGATCCCGGTCTGAACTATAAGATTATAAGTCACCTGTTCCAGTCGATTCAGCTGCGAGGAGCCATACACGCGTGTGAACCTGACAATAAGGGGCCCCAAGACGATGAAATGAACGGATTGCAAACTGCGACTGAGGCATCAGTGTACCACGTGCAAGTGGGTGTGCTTGAAATTTACAACGACTCAGTGCGCGACTTATTCAATTCAACTAACAAGGCACTGGACATTCGTCACGATTCTGCGACCGGTGATATTTGCGTTCCTGATCTGACAATGACGACCGTGTCGTCTCCTCAGCAAACGATTGACGTGTTGCGGACTGCGCAATCAAACCGTGTTACCGGTAAAACTAACTCGAACATGCACAGTAGTCGATCGCATAGCATTGTGATCGTGCAAATCTCGAAACGCCGTCCAGAAAGAAATGAAGCTGATCAAGACCCAGCCGACTTTGATGCCGACGAAGAAGGGTGTGGTAAGCTATACCTTGTGGACCTAGCTGGTTCCGAGCGAGTCAAGAAGAGCAATGTGAGCGGAGACATGCTCCGGGAGGCCGCTCATATTAACAAGTCCCTGTCAGCCTTAGCTGATGTCATGGAGGCTCTGGACAAGAAGATGTCTCACGTTCCGTACCGCAACTCGAAACTCACGTACTTGCTCCAGGACGTTCTCAACTCATCGTGTAAGACAGTGATGATTGTGAATGTGGGGCCGACAATTGAAAATGCTAGCGAGACATTCCGGTCGTTGCAGTTGGCGGAACGCGTGCGCAATATTGTGGTGGGTAGAAACCAAATTGTGAAAAACAAGAAAGACATATTATCGGCCAAGAAAGCGTTTGCTGAGCTTCAGTCGTTGAAGCAGCAGATGCAAATATCCAAGCGAAAGTACATGCAGTCACAACAATCTGTGGTCTCTCTGGTAAGTCGCTGTCGGTCTTCTTTTAATTCGGGGAGGCGTTTGTTCTCACGTCATGGTTCCGGTGCCTCCACTCCTTCAGAAACGGGACCAGAAGAACCAGTCGGAAAAACAGTCGGCAACGCTGCAGAGCCGGCTTAGAGCATGGGAGACGCAAAATGAAAGCCTGAAGTCTCAAAATGAATCGCTTAAACGACTCGTCGATGATCTAAATGATCAGCTGAAGGCTGAGCGGGAGACTAAACAGAAGGAAGCGGAACAATGCGAAGCTGCTCAACGCTTGCTTCGACAGCAGAGTGCGAAGGCCCGTGTGTCTTTGTCGCAGCAAGAGACACAGCAGAAGTTGGTTCAAGAGCGCGAAGAAGAGATTAAAAAGCTGCGGCAGTTGTTGACGGAAGCTAGGCGCCGAAGCACTTCCTCTCTGATTCCGCGGCTGCCGCTATCATCGCCACCAATGAAGAAGTCAAAGAGCACTCGCCCTACAAGCTTACCTTGCAATGAGGAGGGGGATGATATGACCAGCGCTACAAAAGCGCACGCTGTTTCGCGCGGGGGAGGATCGCGTTTGCAGTCTAGCATCTCGTCAAGCAATGGCACCCGCAGACATCAGAGCCCGCAGAGGAGTAAGGGCTCAGCATCAGCGCGGACAACGTCTACGTCTAAGCAGGGTACTTGGAAGTGATTGGCGAAGTCGAATGCAGAATGCGTCAGTGAACGCATTTTAGCTAAAGCAGATACGATTCGAGCAATATTGGGCTTGGGTCAGCTTGGCGATCGATCGTAGATCGCTGTCTTGGGTGAATTGGTGAGTATAAGAATAGCAGCTTGTCATGGTGGTGGCTTTTGAATGTGAAAATCGGACTTTGGACTAGAGTTGACATTCTTTGCATCATACACACCGATCTAACAACTATGCGTTCGGAAATGTGTTTCCTGCAATGCCGGTTGCGTGTGTACAGGAGGAAGCAGGCATACTCGCATTGGTGTAGTCGGCCAATTTCCGCAACACTTGCCGCAGCAGGCCTTTCTGTTGACTGACACTGTCAAACACGTGCAGCAGCTCGAAGAGAAGATCTTCCTGTACCTCTGTAGCAGTCGGCGACAAACTTCCGGTATTAGGCAGATGAAGGACATGCTCCAGCACTGCACTGATTGCAGGCTTTACGATGTCGTTAAACGCGTGATCTTCCTCGCTTTCTTCGTCTTGGTCCTCTGCTTCATGAATTGAGTCTGGACCAGCTGCTATCGCGTCGATCGCTGCATGGTTGTGCTCACTACTGAGCATACTATCAACCTCTTGGTCGCTGCAGGTGACTTTTGCAGCTTCTGTGGTGGTTGCAACTTCCGCTTGAGCTTTCAGCTCCCGGTGAAGACTTGCCGATGATAAACGGACTGTATTGAAATCCCACGCGCTGCCCACCGACACATCTCGAACATGGCCCTTGCCGCTGTCACGGTGAGCGTGTGTCGCTGGCAACGTGTCATTATGACCTTCACTCAAAGGATGAATGTAGTCCTTCATTGTGTTGCCGCATAATCCGTTCTCGACGCGGTCGTTGTAGACGCCGCCATCTTGCTCGCCTTCTCGGTCGTGCTTCATCTTAACGAATACATCTCGTTCTAGAAGTTTGGTGAGATGAGAAGTAAGTCCCGCCGAGCCAATGAACGGGTGCTGAAGTAGCTCGGACGCAGTCGGTCGATCCTGTGGGGCCCTTTGCAAGCAACAAGACACAAAATCGGCGAAGTGAGGCGAGAAACTACCGTCTAGCACAGGCGGGTCCATTGTCGGAATCATAAACAGTACTTTCATCGGGTGGATGCTAACAGTGAAAAATATGTCAGTACAGCGCGTGGGACGGAAGATACTATGCGAAAAACAAAGCACGTACTCAGCCAGCGGAGGTGCACCTTTCGCCATCTCAATCGCGGTGATACCCAACGACCAAATATCTGCTTTAAAATCGTATTCCGACTCTTGGATGACTTCAGGTGCCATCCAAAACGGAGTGCCAACTGCCGTGTTACGCTTCGTCATCGTCTCTGTAATTTGCCCGGTGACGCCGAAATCCGCAAGCTTTACGTGACCATCTCCACTCAACAGCACGTTTGCAGCTTTAACGTCGCGGTGAATCTTCTTTTCCAAGTGCAAGTACTCCAGACCCTTCAGCAGTTCACGCAGGATAATGGCAATGAAGACTTCATCTAGAGGTCCATTCCGCATGATGTCCAGCACGGAACCGCCTGACAGAAACTCCATGACGATCCTGTATCAAACCAGCAACAGCAGTAGCAGTAGACGCACTGTCAACCTGTGTATCCCTGCCTTATAACTCAGCCATCATAAAACAGCAGACCAACCACAGCTTCGTCCCCGCAATGAACGAGCCCGAGTACGTCGTCAGCTGGTCGCACGAACACTGGGATAGAACGTGGATCTCCTGCTCGAATCAAAGCGTCAAGAGAGTGATCCGATAGCCAGTCGAAGGGCGAGAAGCACAACACAAAATCATCAACAGAGACTGACGCACCTGCTGCACGTCCTCGATCCCATCAGCTGCAGACTCGAGGTCGATGATCTTGATGGCCACCACCTCGTCCGTCTGTTTGTTGCGCCCCTTGAAAACCTCCCCGAACGCACCACCACCAATGCGCTCGATGACTTCGTACTGCAGCGTGGGGTCTAGTGTGCCACTCATTGTGCAAAGCGTAGTATCTATCCACAAGCCGTCGCTGAACCCGTCGCGGTACTTCTGTAGTGAACGCAATGGGACCACTTTAACTGCTAATGATTACGTGCGAAGTCGGTTGACCGGGGCGGCTTTGTCCACACATACTATTGGTTGATAATGAATCGAGCTGAATCACGAGTGGCTGATATTCACAAGGTCGAGTTTCGAGGCCAACTGCTGATAATGTGCTTCAAGACGCTGGTACTCGGTCTCGAGAAACGCTTTGCGACGGTCAGAGCTTTCCATACCGTCTAATTCCTCCAGATGTGAGCGGTAGAGCCGCCTCTTCACCTCCAGACGAAACTTCTTGCGCTGTGCTTCGTTGAGTGGGTCCACAAACGCAAGCTTGCGGGCCTCGTAGCAGGTCTGCACTTGCTTCTGCGTAATCTTGAGCTTCTCCTGCACGGCGTGAACGTCTGCCGTCGTGAGCGCGACCGTACCACGTCCTGTTCCACCAGCATCTGCGCTTGCGTTCAATCCAAGCGAGAAAAACTCGTGCTCAATACAGGCTTTTAGGTCAACCAGGTCTCGAAACTGTAGCCGTCGTCAACGTAAAAAACCACGTCAGCTTTTTGGAACAAGTAAACACCTGCACGGCAACTTACACTAGCAAAGGCTGGCACCGGGTCCTCAACAGTCAGTTCGTACACGCGGTGGTTTGCCACTGCTTGTGCATGGATGCAACGCACCAGGCGCTCAGCGTGACCTGTACATCACATGTCTATTAGAAAGTGTCTCGTAAAGTAGCCACACGGAAGATTATCTTACCTTGGCGCTGGTGCGTTGGAAAGACGAGAGCCTGACAGATGCGGTGCGTCTCATTTTGGTCTGGCTTACAATATGCAGCTTTTCGTCCAAGAGGATTACAGAATTTAAAGACCGTGATGAACCCCACTGGACAGAAACCCCTGCTGCTGGCCTCTGCCCGCTCGTAGGTCAAGTAAACCACCCATCGCGGGTCTGTGACATCAACAGCGTCTGCTCCTGCAACGAAGAACCAGCAAGATCGAGTGAGTACCAAAGAGTTACAACGTAAAAGATAAATCAAACCAAACCTTCAATAAACCAGAGCGACAGTGTCTGCAAATTGGCCAACAGCTTCTGAGCTGGCTCATTGTCTTCTAATTTGCACTCATAAATCTCATAGTAGCGCATTCGTGCTGGTGTTGATCCATCTTTCACATTTACAGAGTACGACTCGATGCAATCCCCAGGAGGAATGGTGAAATCGGCCGCTGCTTTACGTAGTGCCGCCACAAACTCGTCTTTGTCCTGGACGTAGTTTCGCGGAAGTGACGGCGTTATCTTGTCAATGACATCGTCTGCACTATAGTCATACAAAATACCGTGAGATCAGCAACAACAAAGACACAACCGAGAGCTGGGGCAACACTCACGTGTCTTCCTTGTTTTTAAACTTAACGTTGAGCATCGCTTCGAAGCTGAATCCATTAAACACCAGAGAGATCTGAAGATCCTCATAGCCGTTAATGATCTCGTTGGTACCAAATGCGTGGTACGTGAACTTGGGAGCGAACCACTGGAGCGTCTGCGCTTGAACTTGATCGGCATCCGAAGCTGCAGGTAGTCAGTATTGATTACGACAACGGGTGAGAGCTTGCATGCTATAAAGTACGCACCAATTGAAATCGACGTCACTTCTGTAGAAGATGCTGGGCGCGCGAAACGAACGCGCTTGACGTCGGACGTCAGCCCCTCGGTCGCCAAGCGCTTGATACCTGCTTCAATCGGCGCCATAACGTGTCGAAATAGCTGATAATTTAGTTTGGTGTGGCAATTGAAGTTATTTTAGGATGATGTGGCCTTGTATAGATCAACAAGAACTATATTCGGCAGACTGACGTGAACCACTGATTTGATCCCGTCTTGCGAAACGTGCTGTCTGTCACGTGGGCACCAGCATTTGCACATTAGACGAACTGTTGCTGCATCCCTCTCAGTTTTGCGTGCTGCACATTTCCGTTGGATCAAAAGTATGCTCGTCATCTTGGCCTTGGGCGAGCAGAAGTCGTACGACGGAATAGTGAATGATACGATCATAGCGACTCTAAACCAAGCACAGACTCTTTATGTCAGTGACTTGACCTGTCTCAACGCTACATCTCGATTCACTACCATTTGCATGCCTCGAAACAAAGGAACGTATCAAGCTCCTTGTTGTTGCCGTAGACAAGATAGAACTGTGTTCTATATTTCTGAGGTCGTCGTGTTCTTTTGACGGCCAACTCTACTACTCTTACCGGCTCGGCAGTGTTCATGGTGGACAGCTCTGCAAAAAAGTCTGCTAGCCAACACCGTCGTATTTTTACTGTTGTCAGCCCGTCGGCAATCAGAACAAGTACTAGGACATCATTGCTCTTGAAGTGCTGTTCCTGTTGTGCGTTAAGAGTGCATTCTCGTACACCAGGGCTGGAAAATCTCGATTATTTTTGTCATGGCAACCGGGTTTTTTACTACATTCAAACCCGATTTTAGGGTAAAAACATGGTTTTATTCGGCTCAGTGAGCGGGTGCCTACTATCACGACTCACTGCCGGAATCATCGTCACCGTCGTGCATGTAGTCGTAGAAGGTCGTCAAGTTAGTTTCAATGAACGTCATTTTGTCCCCTCGTTTTAAATCGAGGCAGTTCCTCAGCTTCGCGTGACTGTCGACGCAATCACAAACTCGGTCCACTGAACGCCAATGGTCTGCACTCGTGTTTCATCGAATGGATCGCGGGGCTCGTCATCCACAAGAAACCTAAACAAGACATCCTTCAGCTATAAACGATTGCCCCTTGGTAGTCACTGTAACGGGGTTGCACGAAATCATGGTACTTTGTACCAGAGGTGTTACACACCTGAGGGTTCGCTTCTGTGAAGGTGATATAGAATATCTTATCGGTTTGTAGGGGCTGACAAGTGTCAGCCATTAGATACGAAAGATCTTTGAGTAGGATTAAGATATTCTATAGGCTTTAACATTAAATAAAATCAGTTCCCATTTTGATCTGAAAGACGCGTGGCTTGCGAGCCGTCTTGATCGTTGATCTCTAATCACTAAGAGTTAGCAACACCTCCTTGAGGTAGCTACTCTATAGCACTAAGTGCTGTCGATTCACTGAATCGTTAGGTCCCCTGGAACAGGGATCTGAAGCTGTAAAGCTTGCTGACTCGTAAAGTCGTTAGTTCTTTGGAACTAAGTTGCTCGTAGAGCGTTAAGTCTTCCTCTGACTTAAGGAGCTGTGTAGCTCCGCTACAGTCACACTCCGATAAATCACGAGAGTTGAGGTGTACCTTGGCGCTTTTACTCTTATCATGTTAATTAGAGTCTTTAATGGCATGCATTCGCCGTCTTGGCATTTAGGGAGACTTCTTGTAATATTTTATCGGAGTGTTTATTGGCATGTTTGCGCCCTCTTGGCATTTAGCGAAGACGCATCATCGGTTAACCAGTTCCAGACTGCGCTAGTAGAGCGACCGTGTTTTCGTTTCGTCGCCAGACTTTCAGTTCAATATGATCATCAACGACCGTTCTGAAGTCTAACATGGCGACCTGCGCGTCTCGCTGCTAAAGGTCGAGACCGTCGTCGATTAAGTTATCGACATGCTCGTCAAAATGGCTTGAAGAAAGCGACAATGGCGGCATAGTAGTGGGTACGGTTACGGGGTACTATTCTTGCAAATATACTGACGATAGATTATGTCTTTCGGCTTCCTTGCAGTTGCAGGGATCAGCGGCCGGCCGGATTGTGCGTGAGTCACACAATTATCGTGGTGGGAAAACCTAACAAAACCTGATTTTGGAATACCACCGGCTATCGGGTTCGAACGAAAACCATGAAACCCGATTGTAAACAAATAATTGGTGCCAGCCCTGTCGTGTACACAGTAAACCTCAGTAATTCAACTTAAAAGATAAAGGAGCAAGCTCTGGAGCTCGCCCTTTGATATTAGTAGTTTAGTTCGGAGAGCTACATCGAATTGCAACATGCTAGACAACAGCAGTAGTTACTGAAGAAGGAGCATGATGCTTTTAATGTCTATAGTATTCCAGAAGTATTTTTTATGCAACGCAATTTAGCCTTTGCTTTATGCATCCAGTGTTTGTACATGACCATACTCACCTTTGATCTATTTTAAGCCAATCAGGTGCGTCACAATGCTGACCTAGCCATAGAGTGACACCCATCATGTGAATCGGCCAATGAGGGGGGACAGGCTAGATCGTATTTATCACGGGCCAGGTACACTTAACCGCGTTATTTACAGACACACCGATAAGTACGATTCAAAAGTTTGGCATCCAAGTTTGTTTTTAATATCGCCATTGTTTGATAAGTATGACATTCAACATTGTGCACGACCACATTGTTGGTTTAGATGCAGATACTCGATTGATTATGATGAAATTCATGGTCTCATGCCTTCGATGCTAGGTATGAGCCGTTTTTTTTTACTGATTGTTCCAAACAAACTCGAAACTAAACCATGCACAAGTGTGAATCAAAGAGCGCTTACGCGCTTGGCAGTAAAGATAACAAGTGCGTGGGTATATAAAACCACGAGTGAAAATCTTCTTTCAGTTTTCAATCCATCGCCAATGCGCTAATGTTAAGCCGCGGCAAATGCTTATGTGAAATCCATGCACTAAGTGCTGCAATGTCGGGCTCTTGTGCGTGATATGCATGTAACAAGTATTGCACTGTTGGGTACTTGTGCTTGTGCTTTACATGCTAAATACGCAAGTTATGTGTATCGAGACTTCTCTTGGATCCTTAACCTTATTACCATTCACTGCAAAAGGACGTAACGTGTAGAGATCGTGGTTTCGATGGCGGCAGGACCCGGTCGTACCTTTCATTGAAGCGGGGTTAGTCACAACTGAATCAAACGGCTGGGATTGAACCCGTGCTGGATTTTTCATGGCAATCGCTGACCTTCCCTATACACAACAAATGAGCCAAAATATACGTGCACAGTTAGCATTTTCCAATGCACTAACGCAAATCACACGGCTATTTTTCTCAGCTAGCAAATCACCTTAGATAAGCACCATTTGTTCTATTAGAGTCGTGAGTCTGGCTCCGATAATCGTTGCTAGTAACGAACCAGGCAGTTTTCGTAGTACCAAATTAGTGTGATATTCGTGGGATGGATAAAAAAATGTGAAAATCTGCTAATAAATTAAATCAGTACAAAAAACGCTGAATTGGAAAGTTGTCCTGATATTACTATTTTTGACAAGTCACTTCCCAATTTGCGCCTTCCGGCGACAACGGCCAAGCGGCAAAGACCTTCACAGAGCCTGGCCACCGGCCCCCTTACCTTGGGTGGGAAGTCTCCTATCACGGGGCATGGATTAAGGGGGGAGACCTTCTCGCCGCTCTGCGTGTGCTATGGGAGACAGCGCAGCGTGCAAACCGAAAGGGGAGCAGCAACCCAGACACTCCGAGGTGAAGGGTACGGCAGCAGCGGTTGTCACCTCCCACCTAGTACCTACTATTCTACTTTAGCCTTCGAGTTGTCGGCTCGGTCGCTGAGCTTGACTCTCGCACTCCGACTGTATATCCGATTCCACGTGCTCTCTGCGAAGAGTCTTCGACAGTGATGACCGAAGAGCCGAGCCAAGTTAAGCAGACTAAGCCAGCGAGGAGGAGATGATGTGGTCCAGGCAGCAGCGCACTGATGTCGTATGGGGCATACGCACTTAATCGACTTTCAGAATCGACTCCTATTTTAGACGAGCTCTACTGTAGATACAATTTTAGACGAGCTCCACTGCAGATACAATTTTAGACGAGCTCTACTGCAGATACAATTTTAGACGAGCTCTACTGTAGATACAATTTTAGACGAGCTCTGCTGTACATTGATCACGTCGGAACCGACGTCCACGATCTCGTTCCCTTTTACACCTGTACCGTCTGCACTCGAAGTACGTCATTCATAAACCCCTTCCACATGATCTGTGCGAATCAACACGAAGCAGCGACCTCCACGACGAGCACGCCGCGCTGTGTCGCCCACTGGGCGCACACGCAAGAGCAAGTGCTCCACGCCGTCTATCTCCTCGCAGTGCTACTGCTCATCTCGCTGCTCTGGACAGTCGCATCGAAACACCAGCGCAAAACGCTGCGGAAGGGCGAAATCGGCTTCTCGCTCAAGTGCCGCCGATGGGCGCGCACGTCCCGCACGGCTGCAATTATTGTAAGCCATAATTGCATTGTGTGTGCAGCCGCTTAGCTTCCAGCTACTAAGTGACCTCTTTACGTATTGTGGAAAACTGCAGAACCGACCTGTCCAGTGGATCGTGTCGTGTGCCATTCTGGGCCTTACAATGTCCAGACTCGACTCGTACGATGTCACCGAGTGGTCTTACTACACCGTGTTAGGGCTCTACGCAATCGCTATTGTGGACGATGGTGTGCGCTTCCTTGCGTCTCGGTACAAACTCATCTTCTGTTTCTCGCCCGTCACGCTACTGGAGCTGCTATGTCTGGCGTCCAATTTTGACGTGGGTTTTGGCTCTGTAAAGGTTATTGGAGGTGTGCAAACACGGACGTATTTGGACTTCTCGGTCATGCGGCCGGTGTTTATGCTAAGGAGTTACATGGAAATGGAGAAACACGTACCTCGATCGACGAAAGGCTGGATGATGGTCCGACTTGGAATCAAGATTCTGCTCATGATCATGGTCGGCGCGTCAATCATGTTCTTCCTGGAGACGCTAGGCGAGCTACCATTTTTCACCGACAATGGGTTTGCGCATTTGTATAGCTGCAACGATGGGACTGTCACGAGACATGAGTCTTTGGAGTGCTCGGAATCAACGTGGTCGGTCATGTTTGCCGTTTACTTTACAATTGTGGTACGTTGTCTGCTATCATGTTGCAACACCTCGTATGTTAAATATGTGCTATCGATTGCAAAAATTATCACAGACACTTGGCACTGTCGGCTATGGCGACAACGCACCTCAAACAGTACCTAGTCGACTACTGGCCATCATGTTTATCGTTATGGGGATCATCTTGTTCTCGATGGAGATCGACAATCTCACCGGCTTGTATAACTTGCGTCGGATCGGAAATCCGCCATACGTTGCTAAGCCTGACTCCAAGCATGTGCTAATTATCGGTAGCCCATCGTACGCCCAGCTCTCGGCCATTCTCCAAGAGCTTTTCCATGCTGACCATTTGAGCGATGCTGATACACGGCGGCTCGACGCTGTTGTTCTTGGGGAGCGCAAGGCCAACTTCGTGAAGCCGCTTATCGCTAAGCTGAAAGCAGACCCCGTCTACACATCACGTGTAACATACATCGCTGGTGACGCTATCCACACTGAAGATTTAGAGCGGTCTCTTGCTCGCGATGCCGTAGCAGTGTTTGTGTTTCCAGATAAACTGGCTAGTGACGCCGCACAGGAAGATGCGAGAAACATCATGCGCTCACTCGCAACCAGACATTATGTCGGGTGAGCCATGTAGTGAGATGATACATTGTATGTTTTTCCGTAGTCACGATGACTAATACTCGTGCTGCCCTGATAGACCGTCTGTGCGCATTTTGGTGATGGTGCTTCGTGCTGAGAGTGGTCGGCACGTACTAGCTGCGGGTGTACACCCAGACGACATCATATGCGAAAACGTTGTCAAAATGGGCTTGATCGCTCAAAACACTGTTTCACACGGCGTGTCATCCATGCTGGCAAACTTGGGATCAAGCTTTTCTGTTGACATCGACAAAGAAGTTCTTCTGCCCACTGCTGTTGAGAGCAGCAAATTGACTGGATCGGACGCCGAAAAGAAATCGTCCGGGGACAGCTGGATGGAAGAATATTATGCCGGCGCAGCAAAAGAAATGTACCTTATCCATTTATCAAAGGTACGGGCTTGCATGACACCGAGGTTGTGGTATGTTATCATAAGCTGATGCTGCAACTGCGTTTTCTTGCGGCGGTTGTGGTGATAGGAATATGAGGGTCTGACATTTTCTGAAGGGGCTACTCGAATTTTCAAAGAAACGTTAGGTACAGTACTGCTTATCGGTGTGGAAGTCGAGTTTCCCAAGGAGGAGGCAGTGTTCCACAGCAGCTTCGAGTCTCGTGTGTTGCTGAATCCGGGCGACAGTTTGCTTCTGACAGAGTCTATCCAGTGTTATTGCATCGCCGATGACCTGGACCAAATTTTTCGCTTCAAGATTTGCGTGGGAGAGGTCAGCTTAGAACACAGGCGGCGACAGATCAACCATTCTACGTCCGCAAACCCAATTGAACAAGATATGTTCCAACCGATGCTCTCTTCTGGCCATGAAGGCAACCTTTCTTGCGATGAGCTAAGCAGTGCGAATACTTACACGGCTTACACGACTCCGAAGTACGCGAATATGAAGCACCATAGCCCAGTAGGTTCTTGTTCATCACCTTGTCGGATGATAGTCACATCACAACCTAATTGTTCGTTTCTGATAGGTTTCAACATCGGGAACTGGATTGCTTGTTCTGGTGCTACATCGTTCTGCTCTTATTTAGCATTGCTGTGGGTGCCTAATACTTGTGAATGTTTGTACGGTGTAGGACCGTTCACTGGAGACAATTATTCTGAGGATCAAAAATGCGAACCGAACAATCGCCAGTGACAATCCTCACGAAACACTTCAAGTTCATGCCGGTTTACACCGTACTGTGAATAAAAAGCTGTCAACTATGGCGCCGCAGGAGAGGCTTACTGCTCCACCTCTCGCTATCCTGTTGCATCCCGAGCATCTCGTCATCTGCAGTTTCCTGGGCAGAGAATCCGTAGAAAGTCTGCAATGGCTCATCAGACCTCTTCGCAGTCCATACGCCAGCAGCCATCCTCCGATCACGATTTTGGATGCTGTGGAGCCGTCCGACCTGTTGACACGCATGTTGCTCGCCTTTGACGACGTGGTATGTACTTTCGTTTTACTTGACAGTGAGTCGCAGCTAACTCGACTGCTCGTTTCGACCCAGTTTTACGTACGTGGCAGCCCCACCGTTTATTCAGATTTGCAGCGCGCTGGTGCAAAAGCAGCAGCTGCGGTTGTGATACTTGGAAAACGGGGAGAAATGGCAAGTATGTCGACATCCGTCTCCGACGTGGAGTTAGAGTCCAGTATTGATGATGCCGAGGCAATCTTCGCGACGATGTTGGTGGAACTGAAAATGGACCTTTCGAAAATTTTCACGATCACCGAGCTTGCCGACGAAGCTAACTCAAAATTTATGGGCATGTCGTTCCGATCCACCAAGGTACAAACTGTGGCGTCGACCGGGAACAACAGGAAGCGAGGAGTTGCAGCGGATGTTTGGAGTACAGAAATGTTCAAGTTGTGGAATAACATTCTGCAGCATGAGGCATCAGGGCAAGCGTCAAAGAAGGAGATTTTCGGTCTTCCTCTGTACATGTCGGGCCGGATCCTACACCCGCAGCTATGCGAAAACATGGTTGTGCAGACGTACTTCAACCCGTCAATTCACAAGATTATTCGTCAGCTGGTTGGAGGCCCTCGTTGCACTGGTGTGATTCACACCTTCTCGATCCCGCGCCTTCTTCGAGTAAGCTGTGTACTCTTGCCATTTTTTCGTGTAATTGTTGAGTATCCTTACGACGTGCCGGTTGTTTTACAGCAGGAAAAGTGCACGTACTCGGACGTCTTCCAAGCGTTCGCCAAGTCATCGTATTCGGGTATTTGCATCGGCATTTACCGCTTGTCAACACAAACAATCGGATTGTCGAGCCATGTCAAACTGCCTATCGTAATCACGACTCCGAAAGCAGATCTCAAGCTTCTCAAGAGCGATCGAGTCTTTGTTTTGATCGGAGTTCACACGCTGGAGCGCGCGGCCACGAAGGTTCAGCAGCACTACCGACGGCACAAAGGGATCTCGGTTCGGTGAAGGAGGAGAAAAGCGGACAAGAGACAAAAGCACGTTGAGGAGCACGGTGAGCTAGCAGATGGCTTCCTATTTCTTGGATGTTGAAGATTATCGCGAACTACACTACGACCTGCGACTTTTTTTCGTGCCCGAGTGCTTGTTCCCCTTTGAGCGACTTGAAGCAGGTTGCTTGCGCTTTTGATTGGTGACGTCCCTGCGGCTACTACTGACGTCCTTGAAGTTGCTGTTGCTTGTAGCGCCCTTGCTGCCACTGCACCCCTTCTTCCTTTTCTTCTTCTTGGAACCTAGCATGTCGTCTAACGAGGGCGTAAGCAGCAGGTACACCTTCTCAAGGATATCCACTGTAACTGGCTCGATCATATCAGGGCATCCGTTATCGTCAGGCATACCTGTCTCCTCGCCTTCAGCTGGAAGCTGCGCTTGTCCTTCAGGCACGAAAACGAACGTCTGTGAATCCCAAATTGGGAACGAACCTTTCGAGAGTACCTTTTTGTTCGTGTATCCCGGATACAAGCACCGATCAAAGATGACGGACCGCTTGTAGCCAAGATGGTTGGTCGTGGCAATGTTCTTAATGCCCCATTGACTGAATGGAGCCTTGGTTTTGTGCGTGACATGCACTTCTCCAGTAGCCGTCAACACGTGACCGACGTGACGAAAGAAATCATGCAAAAGCTTCTTGTTGCGTTCCATCTCTTCATTCTGCCCGTCTTTTCCTTGTGGTGCTCGAATACACGGGAAGTTCCAAATGACGCGGTCAAACTGGCCCAGTGCTTTCAGCTGCTCAGCGTCCGTCGCATCCACTTCGTGCTTCACCGTCACATTTGACATCACAGCTAGTTCACCAAGTATCTTTTCCCCATCCGGATACGTTTCTACGATCGACGTCCTGCTCTCGTGCGACGTAGCCATGAGCTCCACGCCGGAGTCAGGACCCAGTGCTCTGGCGAGCGCCAACGAGTACGAAAAGTTGCCGTCTCCGACCGTCAGGATCTTCTTCACTGCTCGTGCATCGTACAGACCAATGCAGTGCTTATTGGCTTGAAATGAAGGCGCTGGACCTGCTTGGTCGTCTCCTGCAGCATCAGTCGTCGCTTCCATGCGCGGACACAGCTCAGGACGGACGTTTGGCAGCAAACCAGGCCGGCTGTGGAGAGCGATCTTGTAGCAGCAGGCGATGCAGCGCGTAAAAGCACAGCGAAGCGTGTTGTGGTGCACGTAGAGCAAGTGCAAGTCGCGGCGCTGGACGTCGCTGACAGCGTCCATCGCTTGGTGTTTGATTGGCATTGCCGCGGTCCCCCGTGAGAGTGACACCTCGCCACCGATGCTGCACCACACCACATTAGACCACACCACGTCCTACTTTCGATCGACGTGAAGCCATTTAGAAATCATTCGCCCACTCTCTTCTTAGAAACCCTCGACTTCGACTCCACGCAAGAGAGAGGGAGGACACAAGCGCAGCGCGCAATCATCGCTCGACCGGCCGCCGTCATGGACCAGCTGATCCCCATTATCAACAAGCTCCAGGACGTCTTCAGTGCCATCGGACAGTCGCCCATCAACCTGCCGCAGATCGTCGTCATTGGCAGCCAGAGCAGCGGCAAGTCGTCCGTGCTGGAGAACATCGTGGGCAAAGACTTTCTGCCGCGGGGCTCTGGGATCGTCACGCGGCGACCGCTCATTCTGCAGCTCTACAACTCGTCCACGAGTGGCGCAGGAGGTGAAGACGGAGCACCAGCTGCTGAGGGGGCAGAGGAGTGGGGCGAGTTCCTTCACATTCCAGGCCACAAGTTTACGGACTTTCACGAGATCCGGCAGGAGATTGAGAAGGAGACGGACCGCATCACGGGCAAGAACAAGGGCATTAGCAACAAGAGCATCAACCTCAAGGTCTTTTCTCCCCACGTGCTGAACCTCACGCTCGTGGACCTCCCGGGGATCACGAAAGTGCCGGTGGGAGACCAACCCGTGGACATTGAGGAACAGATCCGAGACATGTGCACGACGTTCATTGCCAACCCCAACTCGATCATTCTTGCAGTCACGTCGGCCAATACGGACTTGGCCAACAGTGACGCACTGAAGATGGCGCGGGAGATTGACCCGGATGGACAACGCACGATTGGTGTGCTCACGAAACTGGATCTCATGGACGATGGCACTGACGCCATGGAAATGCTGCAGGGACGTGTGATCCCGCTCAAGCGAGGGTATGTGGGCGTGGTGAATCGCAGTCAAGCGGACATTAACTCCCAGCTGTCGATTCGTGATTCACTGGCGAAAGAGCAAAAGTTTTTCAAGACGCATCCGGCGTACCGAGCCATTGCATCGAGGATGGGGACGCAGTATTTGTCCAAGACGCTGAATACGATCCTGATGCATCATATTCGAGACTGTCTGCCCGATATAAAGTCGAAGATTAGCAGTATGGTTACTGATCTTGATCAGGAGCTTGGCGAGATGGGGTCCCCCACGGAGCAGATGACGGCTACTGAAATGGGCGGCTGCTTGCTCAATTTGCTGTCGCACTTTTCGAGCAATTTTACGAACTCACTGGACGGACGCAACCACCAGCTAGTGGAAATGGACGAGCTCTACGGCGGTGCGCGTATCAACTACATTTTCAATGAGATCTTTTCCAAGTCTCTGCGAGAAGTGAATCCTTTTGACGGACTGAGCGACGAGGACATACGTACTACCATTCGAAACGCCAACGGCCCCCGTCAGGCGTTGTTTGTTCCTGAAGTTTCTTTTGAGCTGCTGGCGAAGCGTCAGATCAGCCGTTTGGAGCAACCTGGCTTGCAGTGTGTGGATCTGGTGTTTGACGAGCTGCAGCGCGTGACGTCACAATGTGAGACGATCGAGCTCTCGCGCTTTCCTGAGCTGCGCGACCGCGTCATGGAAGTGGTGAACGGCATGCTGCGTGCGTCGTTGGTCCCGACGCAAGCAATGATTCAAAACCTCATCCAGATCGAGCTGGCCTACGTGAACACCAACCACCCTGACTTCATCGGTGGCAGCCGTGCAGTGGCCCAATTGATGGAGAAAATGCAGCGTGATACAATGGCAGCAGCTGGAGCACCGACCAACAATATGACAAATCAGGACCCACGGCGTCCAGGGCAGGCACCGAAGCAGTACGCAGCTCCTGCGCATGCAGCAGAAGAGAAGCCTGACGGGAATGACCCCATGTCCTTGTTCGGTAGTGGCCACAAGAAAAGTGGTGCAGATGCCCACGTTAGCTCGAAGCCGGCAGTCGTGAAGCTACCCCAGGTGCCTGTGAGCATGCGACAAGGCGACGACCCGACCGACCGGGAACGCATTGAGACGGAAATCATCAAGAGTCTGCTGGCGTCGTACTTTGACATTGTGCGGAAGAACTTTCTCGACTTGGTGCCGAAAGCCATCATGTGCTTTATGGTGGGACGCTCAAAGGAAAACATTCAGAATGAGTTGGTCTCGTCGCTCTACCGCGAGGACAAGTTGTACGAGCTCTTGGCGGAGACTGGTGACATTGCCGTGCGGCGCTCCAACTGTGATGAGATGCGCACGCTACTTCAGCGTGCTCTCGAGATCGTGAACGAGGTCCGCGACTTTAATACGTTCAAGTAAAACCATGGCAAGCGTTTGAGGTGCTAAGGAAGGAAGAGAAGGCTACAACGCAGTAGTTGTTGAAGCGTGTTGCATCGAGCAGCTTAGCTGGTCACGTCGTCGCTTCAGGCAGCACAAATAAGAAACAATGACATTGCATTCTTTTAGCTACGTTGTCACCATTAATCCTCTAAGCAAACGAGTTTATTACCAGCCTTGGCAGAAAGGCCAGTTCAAAATATGGTGGATCGCAAAAATAGATGATGACCGGGTGTTATAGTGCTTTCTCGATCACTCTATCCCTAGTAAACACGTGCCAGAAAAGTCCGATCAGTAAACCCGACATATTGCCGACTTTAGAACATCTGAATGAATGAGTCGCTCATACCTTGACCAGTAACTACTTGCGAATTCTAATTTTTGCGCGCGGAGAGAAAATTGAGTCCATGCAAAGTGGCCAGGACAATTCGGAAATCTCGTCCATCTCTCCGTTGCATACAGATACCGGAACGTTGTTTCACGTTCAGCATAGAGTCACAAGTCGTTGCGTCCGTGTGATTTGCAGCTCCAAAATAACTTCGTCATCAACTCTTGTCGTCTCTCTTCTATGCGAGCTACACGGCATTCGTTTGCTCACACGAGTGAAGCAATTGCACGTCCACAGCTAATTCTTATATCGTACCATACAGATTAAACGTTGCTGTATCGATCGCGCTTTCGTCGCTCCGACAATAAGTCGTTCATGAACATCTGAGACGTTCGGACCCGTTATCGTAGTCATGCTCATATAAGAGTTGCCTGGTCGCGATGCGGCATCGCACATAACTTTGCTATTGTAGATCTGCTCTATCGTAATATTGCTATTGTAGATCTGCTCTATCGTAACATTGCTTACCCAACACGTATGTGCTCTGTTTTACGAACTCCCGTGGCTTCGACTGGTGTACAGAGTGGCATACTTGCCCGATTTAGCATCTCAAACGTAACGACATGAAGCAGTTTTGCCCGTTTCAGTCCTGGCTTGGATACCAAATTGAACTTGGTGAAGGCACGAGAAAACGAGATAATGCGATAATGGTTGTCATGAGATAGCGATTCCAGTTCGTCATTTCGACCGCCACTTGATAAACACGACCTGTGAGGGTGAGACACTCTCACAGATGCTCCGCGCGACTATAGAAAGTTATGTCCAATGTGCTGGTTCGAGTTCTTGAAGATTCGCTTTAACCATGACTTTGTAGTGGCTCAGCAATACTCGACAGCTATGTCACATGACAAGTTGCCCTATGTTAGATAAATTGACAGCCTAAATGATTCACATGATGCTCAGCCTTTTGATAATCAATTGTAGCCGTTTTTAGCAGCAGAGCTTTTGTTGTGCTTTAATCAACTCAGTCAATAAGCACATGTTTCTATTATTCTTATTCAATCAATCTTTCTGGTAGCAGACAGACCTTCGCCAATACGCGAGTTCCCACGCTTTTAATAGTGGCAGTTGCTTTATCATAAAACATCTGCATTATTTCGACGATCGATCGAAACTGAGTGCAAAAGCATTCAGAACTACATTTAACCTGTTCTATCTCTACGTACAAACTTTAATAAAATTTTGTATTTGTTCGAATTCACGATAAATTACTTGTTTCATTCAAAACCTGTGTGCAATCTGGTGTGCACAAACAAGTGGCGGTCTCATGACTTTCACAACTTTCCAATTGTGGATGAGCGATGCTAGTTTTGCTTGTGATCGTTTCACTTCATAAACGCGCTTACTTTGCCACGATACTTGACATTTCAATTAGTGACTATTCAAATATTAACGCTAAAGACGTATAAACGATAAAACACCTTTTAACGAAAGCATGAAACGGTCGACTTTGCAATATAGAAAAAGTTTGTCGAAAACAAACAAAATGTGCTTGCTCTGTACTACCAGCAAACACCCATGCCCATGCGGCTGAGCATCCTCTCCAATTGCATGTAGCATCTACCTCTTTCATTGTTCTACTTGCTCGACAGCTCAATCTGCATGCGGTCCTCGTAGCTTCGCTTCTGCGTCTCCGTTTCAATCCTGGCTTTTGATACCAAATTGAACTTGGTGAAGGCACGAGAAAACGAGGTAATGCGATAATGGTTGTCATGAGATAGCGATTCCAGTTCGTCATTTCGACCGCCATTTGATAAACACGACCTGTGAGGGTGAGACACTCTCACAGATGCTCCGCGCGACTATAGAAAGTTATGTCCAATGTGCTGGTTCGAGTTCTTGACGATTCGCTTTAACCATGACTTTGTAGTGGCTCAGCAATACTCGACAGCTATGTCACATGACAAGTTGCCCTATGTTAGATAAATTGACAGCCTAAATGATTCACATGATGCTCAGCCTTTTGATGATCAATTGTAGCCGTTTTTAGCAGCAGAGCTTTTGCTGTGCTTTTATCACTTAGTCAATAAGCACATGCTTATACTATTCTTATTCAATCAATCTTTCTGGTAGCAGACAGACCTTGTAACGGGGCACCCTGAAGCTTGTACTGGTGACAGTACAAGCTACTTATTCTGATGACAGAATAAGGCGGTGCCTCGTAACTTCACGTACACTGGTACGTGCAGAGGAAGACGGTAAGAAGAAGCGAGTACTTGGTTAGAGTAAAAAGTAGAACTGTATTTATAATAGTTAATGTCTGCAATAAATCACTATTTATCTTCATCTAACTATGTCTAAATACAAATGTGTAAATCAACTATCTGCTCAACACTCATTGCGTGCGTCTGTCGTGGCGCGTCTTCGTTGGTTGATATAATGGCCTATATCAACCAATTAGGAACTACTTGTAAGTGCTACAGAATATTTGTCCTTATGACAATATTCTGAAAATATAACTCTTATAGTTATATTCTATTAACAATTTCTTATAAATTGTTATGTAACGATTCACCCCGTTACATCACCCCCCCCTTAACCATCAGTCACTTGAGTGACTGATTGACTAAATGGAAACTCGTCCCAAATCATTTGGGACAGGGTTTGCACTTGTTGGTCCGCGTTCACTTTCCAACATTTCATCGCATGGTAAACAAGCCCATGCGATGCGCGAGCAAAGCCGCCGAGAGCGCGTCCGCACGTCTCTGTGTGGACGCCGAAGCAGAAACCGCAGCAACTGATGTCTCATCGGTTGCTGAAGCGACTCAGCCTGTGTCACCTGGTGATGCAGGCGCTCGTCATGAAGACACTCATGTCTTCACAGAGTATGAGCTCGGTGTCTCATACTCTCCTGATACGGAAGACGGATCCGTATCGACGGCGATCGAAACCAAGCCGCCTGCCAAGCGTGGTTTGGATGATGCTACGCGTCGTAGCATCTTTGGCTCATCTGACGAATCAGATGAACCATCGCCGAAGCGAAGGCGCTCGAGGTCGCGGGACTCGGGCGCTAACAGTGGTGTCGGTTCTCCTATTGACACCACTTCGCAACGAGGTGCCAGTACTTCTGTCGGCACGTCGCAGGAAGAGCGGGACCGCAATGTCTTGCGTCTCGCTCCAGAAAAGAAGGCATGGATGCCTCCAAAATCCGTCATGGATCACTTGTCGGCGACGACGAGTGATCGTTATCGAACACGATTGTTCGATTCGTCAAGGATCCATCACCTTGACCCCAGCGCGAAAAACTATCGCGCTGAGCTTGAATTCTTCATCAATGCTTTCTCTAGACATCGATGGTACAGTGGGAACCACAAACGTGATGGTCCCTCACTACTTCAGGCGTGGAACGCCTACATCCATAACCTCGAGGATGTAGGTCGTGACGTTTGGAACGACAAACTTGTCAAAGCTCGTGATAAGTTTGAAAAGCGAACCCCGACAGGTGCACGCTACAAGCTGCATCGTCTGTCAAGGGAGAAAGGATTACCCTGCCTCTCTTGGGGAGACTCGTGCCCATGTTGTGTGAACAACTCTGCACGAGCACCTAAGGAGGCTTACCTCCTTACCAGCCCGTGGTGGCGCGTACGTGTCTCTAGTGAGATGTACGAAGGTATTGACAACCTGAAATCCCTTTACGACCGTGCCGGGAAGACTTTCTCCGGCGGTCCTTCTGCGGCGCAGGATGTGCCGCGTCGTACTGATCAACCAGACCCAGTCCGTCGATCATCAGTTGGGAGCGGGGCTCCCAAGAATCCCAGGACGGGGGATAGCCGCGCCACCGGACGAGATAACTCGTCCGACGTCCGTTCACGTCGCGGTGGTTCAACAGCTGCTCAACTAGATAGCGCTGGCCACCGCGAGAGTCCTCTAATGGAGGTGGAGGAGGAGGAAAGACGCTCTCCACACGATCATGTGGATCGGTGTGTTCCCGAGAGCTTCTTTGACCGCGTAACGCAAGGATTACGCGACGATCTCGAGCATGAGCGGAATAGGCGTCTCCAAATGGCGGACACTGCCTCGAAGCATCGAGCTGAGTTTGCTTTTGCTCAGCTTGAGAACGAGAGATCTCTGACATCTCTTCGTGACGAGCTAAGGGTAGCTCGTGGGATTGCTGATCGGTCTCGGGATGAGATAGCTGCTCTTCAGACCCTTGTTGAGGCCCACCATCGGGAGCACAAGGCTCTCTGCGAGATGCTTGAGCGCAAGGGCGTTCTTCATCGGAAGAAGCAGCGTACTGATGGTACGGCTTAAGCCGACCAACGTAAAACGTGGGATGCGTTCGCATCTTACGTGGTAACTCGATCGTGTATGCATTGCCTAGGCGGTGCAATACACGAAATGGGCCGATGTACTTGGGTAGTAGTTTACTGCTACCCAAGTTAGTCACTACATGCTTTGGTAGATTAACCGTAGACAGTAGGACTAAGTCACCTTTATTAAATAAAAGAGTGTTTGCCCTTCCATTCTTGTCAGCGTTTTGCTTTTGCTTATCCACCGCTTCGGCGATGGAGTCTTGCACAAAACGGACTACCGTTTCACGAGCCAGTCTGAACTCATCTAATGACTCGTTAGCTTCAGTGTGCTGTGAGCGCACTGCAGCAACATCAACCTTTTCTTCAGTGAGGGCTTCCGCACTCTCACTGGGATCATCTTCTTCAGTGAGGGCTTCCGCACTCTCACTGGCATCATCTTCTTCGATATCGATGTTATCGATATCGGCATCAAACGCAATGACTTCTTCGTCAGAGCGTGATGAGCGTGAACCAAATCGGTTTTTGCTCGCGCGAGTCCCCCCCCCTTAAACCAGAGTTACACTCTAGTAAGGTGGGTACACGCGGATGGCGCAAGCCATTCACGTAAAACGGTGTATGTGTCGTGGACGCATGCACCGAGTTGTTGATGGCAAACTCTACCATTGGCAAAAACTCACTCCAACTCTTAAAGGAGTCAACGTATCCTCGAATTATCTCTTCAAGGACACGATTGGCACGTTCCGTCTGACCATCTGACTCTGGATGATCAGATGTAGACATCTTCAAGCGCGTTCCGAGTGATTTGAACACGGAACGCCAGAAATCAGCAGTGAATCGTGGATCTCTGTCTGATACGAGTTCACGGGGCAACCCATGAAGTCGGAAGATGGTGTCAATAAAGACACAAGCACAGCCACTTGCCGTGATTGTCTCTGGTACAGCCACAAGGTGTACCATTTTGCTGAATCTGTCAACAAATACGAGAATACCCGTATTCCCGCGTGCGTCTTTGGGTAACCCGAAGACGAAATCCATTGAGATGGATTCCCAGCACTCAGCCGGAACTGGTAGAGGCTGTAAAGGTGCACGCAGTGAAGGACTTGACTTCACTCGTTGGCAGACTTCGCATGCGCGAACATACTTTCGCACAAACTGATACTGGCGGGGCCAGTAAAAGTCTCGACTTACCGTGAGATATGTTTTCTATCGGCCACGATGTCCTCCTATAGGAGCATCGTGATACTCGAACATGATCCGCAAACGCAGATCAGTATCATCTGGAATGACAACACGTGGTGTGTCACCAGAAACGGCTGCATAGTACAGTAAACCGTTACGAGTAGTGTATCGATCTGATGCAGATCGATACGCAGACGATAATCGTTTCAACGATTCTCGAGATGGTTGTGAGAGATGTGTCAACAACTTTACAATCTCACCATCTTGGGCGTATGCCCGCCTCACATCATCATACAACGTTGTAGATGGGACTGAGGACGTCATAACCGCAACAGTGACTGTCTCACTGTTGGGTTTCGCGACTGTTTCAAAGTCGGGACGACGTGAGAGTGCATCAGCGACGACATTAAGTCGTCCTGGTTTGTACTCGACCGTAAAGTTGTATTCCGCAAAGAATGACAACCACCGCGCCATTCGTTGTGAAAGGTGCGGGCTGTTCACTGCCGTGCGTAATGACGCATGGTCAGTGTAAACAACGAAGGGTCTATCTCCTAATAGATAGACTCTGAACTTCGCGAGTGCATACTTCATGGCAAGGAGTTCCTTGTCATGCACTGGATAGTTCCGCTCAGCTGGTTGCAGCTGACGCGACTGATAGCAGACGACGCGTTCAACGCCTTCTAGGTCGTACTGCATTAATGCACAGCCGATTGCGAAATCGCTGGCATCACAGACCACATGAAATGGCCTGTCCTGATCGGCTATTGCTAGGACTGGGGATTGTATCAAGCTCTGCTTGATACCCTCAAAGGAGCGCTGACATTCAGCGTTCCATAACCACCTCTCGTTCTTTTTCAACAAACGAGAGAGGTGCACAGTCATCTCGGCGTAATTGCGTGAATACTTATGCAAATACGCCGCTAGCCTAAGGAATTTTCGAAGACCTTTGACATCAACCGGCACAGGCCAGTCGGTGATCGCCTTGATCTTTTCGGGATCAGGACGTACACCGTTCTTACCAACGATGCACCCAAGAAGTGGTATTTCGCTTGCTGCAAATATACACTTCTTGAGGTTAGCATACAATTGATGCTTTCGCATGATTGTAAGAACTTGTCGGACGTGGTACCTGTGAACCTCAACGTCCGACTTTCCATCCATAGCTCGACTATGGATGAATACGTCATCGAAATAACTCGGCGCGAATTCTCGTACTGGTCTCAACAGATGTGTATCACATCTGTTGAACGTGGCAGGGGCATTACTGAGCCCTTGTGGCATTACTAGCCATTCCCAGAGCATGCCGCTAGGCGTGCTAACTGCGGTATAGGGTATATCCCGTTCTCGCATAAGGATTTGATAGAAGCCATCCATCAAATCCATGGACGAAAAGATGGTACTCTTTGACATACCATCAATGATTACGTCCTTCCTCGGTATCGGCGTCTGAGCCGGTACCGTTGCAGCGTTCAAATTGTTAAATGCATGCACTATCCGCCACCCTCCTGTTGCTTTTCGCACACAGAAGGTCGGAGAGCTATGTGGGGAAGTTGATTCCCTCACATGGACCGCAGCTAAACGATCGGCAAAGAGCTTGTCGATCGCAAGTACTTTCTCACAAGACAGTGGCCACTGCTTCATGACACAGTACTTCGAGCCTGGTTTAAGCTCGACCTCGTGCCGAATACCTTTATCCTTCGTTAATTCGCACGGAACAGTTTCAGGGAATACATCCTTGAATTCAACCAAATCTTCATAGAGAGGATTTGTCTTGAGCGATTCCCATGATTGGGAGTCATATCGCTCAACTCGTGTCTTTTCATCTAGGACACTCTCGTCCATAGATGAACTACTGAGAACTCTCTCGTTCCCAGTGAACACTGTTGCTGACCTTATGTCGGTTACACACTCGTCGTCAGCGACGAGTACGCATATCTGCTTGACTTTGACACTACGCAGATCACGCAAGAACCTTTTATGTTCGAGCGTTGGCAACTGAATGATCTCCGAAGTCAACTTCGGAGGCGCAATCAGATCAAGGGTATAAGCGCCTACACTTGATCCGTTATTGACTATGACATTCAATGTCTCTGTCAGTTCCTGGGGACTTCTTCCCGCGGGTTTCGGGGAACTTATTTCCGCCGTATTTGTAATCTTGGGACTTATTCCCTTTACTTCCTCTAGCTGGGGTTGCGCAACCACAGCGAGATCCTCTACGAAAGACTCTCCAGTCGATCTAGGATTATCGTTTCGCTTAACCTGAGCGATCGATTGTTTCTCTTCTAGATGTTCCCCGCTAGGGATACATCTTTGTCCCAGTCCACCCGACTTATTCGAGTGGTGGACCTTCGGCGCAGCCTGTGTTTCCTCACAGCCGCCGGAACTTTGCTCCGAAGTGTAACCGTTTGGTACACTAAGGTTTTGTGCAGTCGTACTAACGACCGAGCCACAAGTGAGGCCATCGCGCTCACTCGTAGTACATCCACACACTTGTGGAAGCTCCAAAACGTTCATCAGATGGCCATCTGATGAACAAGCGTCAGGCATCGTTACTGTTCGATGTTGCCAGTTTACCCGTGGTTCGTACCTTCTGAGCCACGGTATTCCAAGGATGACATCAAATTTGTCATCCAATACGATAAAATCGTCGTCATATTGGGTATCTTCTAGCATATAGTGGATCTTCACTATACGCTTCATGACGGTTACGGATGCGCCTGTCGCAAGACGTACCGTCATCCTCGTAGGAGGTGTGTCACATTCACTGAATTTAAAGTGACCATCTTCTAGCGATTGGCGTCGCACAAAATTGTTGGACGCCCCACAATCGACTAGAGATCGAAGGGACAACTTATTCGTCACTTCGAGTTGCAAGGTAATGAGTGAGATCTCATTACCTGGAGCAGCAACGCACAATGTTTGTGTGTTGGGAGCAACCTTCATCAAGAGGCCTACAAATTCTCTTGACGTTGCTGAACCAGTAGAGTGCTCCGCACCTACTGATCCTGTCCGTTTTTTGACGGTCCATCCCGTTGTTGCGTCTTTGCACCAACAGCGGACCCTCGTCCCTGCCCCTTTCTCATGGGTGGACGGTCACTACGCCCAGTGTCGCGAGACACTGGACGAGGGGCACTACACTCGTAAGCGTAGTGTCCTGTCTTTTGACATCTGTTGCATCTCTGCAACTTCTTGTAGCCTGTAGAGCGAGCCTTCTCGCTCTCTACATAACAGAGTTCCATCGGCTCTGGACCTCCGTTGTCATATCGTCTCGGTTGACGATATGATGTCGAGCTGGCGCGAGCCTGTCTCAGACTGAAGTCTTCCTGCTCCGCAATGGAAATGGCTTGTTCTAGTGAATCTAGTTCAAGCCGGAACAGGTGAGTCTTGACGGGACCATCTGCAAGACCCTGCATGAACACCGAAACCAACGTGTGTTCATCCACCGGATTGGAACTAATACAACTCGTGAGATGTCGTATATGTTGCGCGTAAGCGTGCACATCACGCTTACCCTGCTTGAGCTTCAAGAGTTCGGTTCGAGCTCTGATTCACGTCAACTGCACGAGGCAAATTGGAGTTACCTGTCAAAACGGCGGTTTCGGGCTATCCTAGCTGACAACACACGCGAAAATACCAAACGGCTCGTGCACTTTTACCATCCCGGCGACCACATAATGATTCGAAGACCTAAACAGTTTCGCGCAAAGACTAAGGAAGTGGCAGATGGGCCCTACCCCATTAGGATTGTGCATGAAAATGGAACTGTCACTATTGAAAAAGGCGCGACGACGCAACGGCTATCGATTCGTCGCATTTTTGGACAAGACATGATTTCACGTCAACTGCACGAGGCAAATTGGAGTTACCTGTCAAAACGGCGGTTTCGGGCTATCCTAGCTGACAACACACGCGAAAATACCAAACGGCTCGTGCACTTTTACCATCCCGGCGACCACATAATGATTCGAAGACCTAAACAGTTTCGCGCAAAGACTAAGGAAGTGGCAGATGGGCCCTACCCCGTTAGCATTGTGCATGAAAATGGATCTGTCACTATTGACAAAGGCGCGACGACGCAACGGCTATCGATTCGTCGCATCTTCCCATGCTAGTGTAATTGCTTCATGGGGGGAGTATGACATAACTGCCTCATACACTGGTTAATGATGGATGGATCCTACTCCACGACCAAGCTACGACTAAGCGAAGAACAATCGGATGGATGGATTGATGGATGGTTGATGGATAGATGGAATTAGATGAAGCATTCAGGTAGGCACGGTAGGCTAACATGGTATTCAATACATTCTCAATTTTACCTTTGACTCCGCAAGACCCTCTCAAGCAAGGCTCGCGGACCGATCACCCCTCTGCAAGCCACGGGTGTGTCATTGAACTCAGCTCTAGGCGGTTCAAACGTTTGTCTGAGCCGCGACTTGAAGACTTCCAACGACCCAAACGCATATGGGTCGTGCAACTTGAGCCCCAGTGTCCAAGTCTTGGCACGTCCTGCCAGATTTGACTGGGCGAATGCAACTTGCGTATCCCCGTCGTCGATGCGGCGCGCCCTTATGGCGTCATCCAATTCGACGAACCATCTCAAGAGGGAGTCCTCATCGACTCCTAAATACTTGGAGATGTCAATCTTCAAGGTTTCGGGTCGACGCGAGTGCATCGACCCACCAGCAGCAGCCTGCTGCTGTCTCAACAGTTCAAACTGTTGAGCACCCTGTTCTCTCAACAACTCTGCTTGTTGAGAACCTTGTTGGTGAAGCAAGGATACTTTCTCGCGTTCTGCGTCAAGTTCATTTTGAATGAACTTGGCGATAGTAGCATGTTGGGCATCTCTATTGAGAGCCTCTAGCATGACGCTAACAGCATGGATGCCCATGGTCGAACCCATTCGTTCAACCGCATCCCATTCGACATCGCTCAAATGGGAGTAGCCGTCACGCGTAGCGTGAAAGCTTTGGTCATCTTCATCATCCAACATATTCATGTTGGATGTGAACGCGGTCCTTGGACGGACTACGAAGTGCTACCAGGTGTAACGGGGCACCCTGAAGCTTGTACTGGTGACAGTACAAGCTACTTATTCTGATGACAGAATAAGGCGGTGCCTCGTAACTTCACGTACACTGGTACGAGCAGAGGAAGACGGTAAGAAGAAGCGAGTACTTGGTTAGAGTAAAAAGTAGAACTGTATTTATGATTGTTAATGTCTGTTAATTAAGCACTAATTATCCTCATCTAACTATGTCTAAATACAAATGTGTAAATCAACTATCTGCTCACCACTCATTGCGTGCGTCTGTCGTGGCGCGTCTTCGTTGGTTGATATAATGGCCTATATCAACCAATTAGGAACTACTCGTAAGTGCTACAGAATATTTGTCCTTATGACAATATTCTGAAAATATAACTCTTATAGTTATATTCTATTAACGATTTCTTATAAATTGTTATGTAACGATTCACCCCGTTACAGACCTTCGCCAATACACGAGTTCCCAAGCTTTTATTAGTGACAGTTGCTTCAGCATAAAACATCTGCATTATTTCGACGATTGATCGAAACTGAGTGCAAAAGCATTCAGAACTACATTTACCTATTGGATCTCTACGTACAAACTTTAATAAAATTTTGTATTTGTTCGAAATCACTATAGATTACTTGTTTCATTCAAAAACCTGTGTGCATTCTCGTGTGCACAAATAAGTGGCGGTCTCATGACTTTCACAACTTTCCGATTGTGGATGAGCGATGCAAGTTTTGTTTATTATTGTTTCACTTTATAAATGCACTTACTTTGCTACGATACTTGACATTTCAATTAGTGACTATTCAAATATTAACGCTAAAGACGTATAAACGATTAAACACCTTTTAACGAAAGCATGGAACGGTTGACTTTGCAGTATAGAAAAAGTTTGTCGAAAACAATCAAAATGTGCTTGCTCTTTACTACCAGCAAAGACCCATGCCCATGCGGCTGAGCATCCTCTCCAATTGCATGTAGCATCTACCTCTTTCATTGTTCTACTTGCTCGACAGCTCAATCTGCATGCGGTCCTCGTAGCTTCGCTTCTGCGTCTCCTTCTTCTCTCCAGCCGCCAGCGCAGCACCTCCTGCAATTGCAAAGACCGTGGCCGTCTGCAGCACCACTCGTGCCTGCATGAACTTGTTTCCCAGCTTGGACTGTCCGCGCTGAAACGTCACTAGTCCGCCAAGTAGCACGGCCGCGGTTCCAACGCAGCCCAACGGCACGAGCGGGTCTTCTTTCACACGCGTCCATAATGACTTCTTCCCGCCGTAGCGCTCGTCCTCCATCCAGCTGAAGTCGCCTGCTGCATATACGCGCGGAGGTTCTGCACGGTTCGAAGGCATGACGTTGACGGGTGACGTTCGGTTGTGATGCAATTGTTGATTAGACGGTAATCCTTTCTTGCAATGGACGCACTGTCAACGAACCTATGACGCAGCCTTCACGAGAAATGGGATTGGCCCCGCTAGTGCCTTCTCTATTTATAAATGATAGGCACACCACAAAAGATGACGCTTCCAACTAGAAGTTGGATGTGGTGGTGTTGTCTTGTTTCGAGTATCGCCATGCATTCGTGCACGCGGGTGAGCTCTGTGTGCGCTTTGTCTAAAACGCGATGGAGTAAGCTTGGAGTGATGGAGCCGAACGGTTGCCGCGATAATATAGTAGTAAAGTTTTGTTGTGGCGGCACTCTGGGCGTGGGTCAGTCACGCTGGCAGCATCGGCTTTAGCGGTAAGTTCGTGCCAGCTACGGTCGAGCTACTGAGACGGAACATCGTCGGCCTGATACGAACACGATCGTCGAATAGAGCTCCAGAGTCAGTTCAACTGACCACGAGGACGATGTACGAATGAGAATAGAGAAACTGATGACAGGCAGACTGTCTTCAGCGCTAGACAACGGCGTCAAAGTAACCTGTTACGGCCGTTTCCCCCTAGAAGTATCCCAATGGTTCTCAGACAATCACTCAATAAAGGAGAAGTGGATGTCAGTCGTCGAGGTCTTGGTTTAGCGGCCACTCACGTGCGGTGCGGTCCACATGAAGGATCGATTTTCGCCAAAAAGCAAGTAAGAGGTGACGTGAACGTGATGATGGAGTGACACTTTCGAGCGAAGGTCTGCACAAAAGATCTGTAACGTAGAAGCGGATCATCTCCTTTTGTGATTCATACATGCGAAAGAAGCAATCGAGGCGGTACACAGGACAGCACATGAGGGTGCGAGAACGCTTCGCTTGAACACCGGGAGTGTTACAAGAGGTGGAAAGGGCAATGTTGCTGCCGAATCCAAGCGCTAGCACTTTCAGTGCGCGTTCAGTGTGTACGTAGTGAGGCAGAGACGTGGTCGACACACGTAGCCCGACGCGACTTACTGGGGGTACACATGGAAGTGAGGCGAAGTTTGCTCGAGCAGTCTGGGCTTCGTGGTATTTGGAGCGAGGGGAAGAAGGAAACGAATTACACCGCATCTTTAAATTCTAATCCCAGCGCTGGGTCGATATGCTTTGGAGTTTAATGACTGTGAACGGTTTGTCCGAGACAACTCATTAAATTTCGCCCTTTGGTCGATTCGTTGCGGTTGTGGCAAACCCTCCGTGGTCGGGTCACCGGGAGGAATGGCTTGACTCGTCATGTGCCTCATCAAGTCTGATACAGACCGAGCAAACCGATCCCCTGAGTTGGTGTTTGCGAAGGATGGTGAAAATGATCAGTGCAAGCGATGTAACTATAGCTGTCATCCGTCAAACTTTATCATTTGCTTGGATGTGCCTCGTAAGGTGCGAGATCAATTCCTGCACAAATTGAGCTGTCACATACTCTATTCGAGATAACCTTTTTTTCACCAACGCCTCAGGGGCAAACACTTTGCAAGAGACTGATTAAGATCTGTTGATTTCGAGCCGGACCCTTTCATTCTGCAGTCAATTTGTGTGCTACTTTGCCCAAGAGAAAACTGTAACAGGGTGAGTCCGTTAGTTACATGATTACGAGCCCGAAAGGTGAAGGTGTTGGTGACTGTGCGCAAGGTCGAATGCCGAGCTTTTTAAATTCGTACTTATCTGAGTGCGTGTGTCAGTCTATCTGTAAATAACGCTGGAAGAACCTTAAACGTCACATTAAGTGCGATTTAGTCTGTTGGCGTCTTTGTAAAAGATATAGTGCTAGGTGTACCTTACACGTCGTATCAAACACGATTTAGTCTGTCACTTCCTGTCTATGTGAATGACGCCAGGTGGTCTACACGTCATACTCAGTGTGATCTTGTCAGTCACTTATTGCGTCTGTAAGTAAAGCTGGAGGTGCCTCACTCGTCGTACTAAGTGCGATGTAGCATATTGTCTTCTTTGCATGTGTCTGCAACTAAACGCTCAGTGTACCTAAATTGTCGCGCTAAGTGTGATAAAGCACTCTTTCCTCTTCATTATTATTACGCATTATTGCGAGCTCAAAGGGTGAAGCTGTTAATGAAAGAGCGCAAGGTACGTGAATGTACAGATCTTGATCCAATTCTATAGACTGAATTACTTGTATCAAAGGGCGAGCTCCAGAGCTTGCCCCCCTGCATTCTACAGACGCCTACAAAGGACGCGACAGGCTACATCGTACTTCGTACGACGTGCAAAGTACATCTAGCGTTACTCACAAACACACTACATCGTACTTAGTGCGACACGTAAGGTACGCCTGGCGTTATTCACATTCACAGGAGGTAACGGACGAAATCGCACTTTGTACAACATGTAAGGTGTAACGGGATCACACTAGCCATCGGCCAAATTGGTTGAAGACCTCCTATATGTGATATGGGAGACAAGTGTAGCTTTAGATTACAGTTCGATAAAGAGTACTGATCAGTCGGTATTCTCTGAGTTATGGTACTAAACGTGGAAGTACTTTTTAGAAGCTATTGTATTTGACAGGTCGTGAAGGTCAAGGGCAATACCCTGTTACACGGTTAGTAACAACCGTACCTGATCGGCTAACAGACTTGACATCCTGACAGATGGGACGAGGTGACGATACCGCCACGTCCGACCACCGGAATGTTACACCATGTGAAGATGAGGCGACGAGATTACCAAGTCGTCTTGTTGATTTTGTAACAGATGGGACGGGGCGGGATAGACGTGAACTATAGACGATATAGTTGCAGTCCGTTTCGCATGCATGTGTAGGTACTAACAAACGAGGAAAGTTGATACTTAAAATATATCACTTTTACTTCTACATCTTCTGCAACAAGTGCAGCAACAATATTACCAACTCCTAACAGATTATGAGCTCAAAGAATCGTGTCGGCGGCGCAGCTCAAGTAGCCACACCCCTTGGTGGTTGATGTTCAAGGAACTACCGAGGACCACCAACTCGAAGATATGTCGGCAGTGGCCGCGGCGGCACTGGACAAGATGCTCGCCATGCTTGGCGATTTGTCGAAGCGGATGGGTAGAATAGAATCCTCCCAACACGGACAAGTCGGTGGCCAACGCAACAGATCTGCGGAGTCGAGCGTCTTTGGTTCGGTTCTCGGTTCAGGGGCCGCTATAACACTCCAGGATTTGGAGCGCACCCGCCACCTACACGTTCACCGAACGTCTCGCCGGCCACCTAATTCGGTGCCTGACGACCGGCTTTGGCTGGGGATCACATGGTCGACGCGCCAGTCCAGGCCAATGTCAACCATGGAATGGCTCAAGTACTTGAGCCTGGAATTCATGGGCATGCCATGCCAGCGGGAGCATACCGGAGTATACAGATGCTACGTCCAGTGTTACATCAACCTGGGCAGTTAAACCAGGGTGCACAGGATGGCCGTCAAAGGAAGCTGGCTTTGCAAATTTTAATCGGTAAGGAGCTCTACCTCGGACTTGGTAGTGGCTTCATTGAATGGGGAAAGAATTTTCTCGGCAGTTTGCCTTTTCGGAACGCGCCTGTGGGTTCGCATGGCCTGAGGACATTAAAGTTGATGTCCTGGTCAACACCTCGCTGGTACGGCGCAGAAGTCTTATCGGCAGCAGGTGGAAACCTAATGGTCTGAGATTTCAACCTTAAGCCATGCAATGCAAAGGTTACTCTAGACCTTCAACACCAAGATAACACCTGCCCAAAGCATGTAGCTATTTAATGCAGCCAAGTCATTTCAGCGTAGCTAAACGGAGCATTTTATGTACCTGACCGCTGTAAGCGATGCGTACGGAGGTGTAGACAACCTCGTGCTGGACAGCATCGTGCACTATGCTAATCCGTCTATGCGGACGACCGTGTTGTCTCGTCTATATTTAAAGGGATCGATTACCTTTGCCAAGCTAAAGAGATCTCCCAATTTGCTCAGTCAACGAAACTTGAAGTTCGGGTGAAGCATTTGGTCGAGACGTCGTTAACATCGGCGAACCGAACAACCAATCCAAAAGGAACGAACGGATAAAGAAACAACACGGCCCGCAACGACCCAAGCAGTGGCACCTGTGTGGGAGCACCGGGCACCTCAAGATGAAATGCCCAAAAGGTGCCAAGAAGAAAAAGATGCGGATTTTGTCTTGGCAATACCAGGACATCGGACGATCTCACCAAGTCAATGGGTGCTGGACAGCGACTCAGGTCGTCATCTGGATAACGACTTGAACTTGCTGGTAGATGCGGTGGATTGTGGCACCGAATGTTTAACAGCAATGTCGGATAGTGAACCACTTCAGATCACCGAACAGGAAGCGTCATGATCCGGGTCAAAGCACTTGGATTGACTAAGACCATTCGTATTTTCGATGTTTAATACGCCTCCAATTTGAAGTGCAACATCATCTCGTTTGGGAAACTTGAGTCGACGGGATGCGTTCTTGAATACCGAGAAGAGAGGCGTGTCATGGTTTCACATTCTGGTGGGATACCTATTATGGATGTTGATCGCATCAACAGTGTGCTGGTCGTTGAAGTTTTCAATAAAGTTACGACCGATAATTTCATGGTTTTGGGTCACTAAGAGAAGCGATCATGACCGTTGTCGAAGACATTACAAATTATGCAAAGAACGACACGCAACACGGACTTTGTCCTAGTTTCATCTGTGTCTATGTCACCTGTCCTGTGACAACATCATCAAGATGGCTCGGGACCCCGCCTCTGGTTTCAAATTGACTGATACTACGCATGTCAAGCGCTTAGCCCGTGCACAAGGCAAGCAAACAAATAATCGACAATCGCGGAAGGACAGTGGGCTGAATTCGCCCATTGACGTGATCGGAGGTGTAGCATGTTCAGACCTAAAAGGTCCTTTGACCCCCCGTGATCGGCTCGGCAATTGATACCTGGTCAATTTTATTGACCTCAGGTCGAACTACTGCCAGGTTTTCCTAGCGAAGACCAAAGATGCCGCTGCGATGTACTTCAAGAATTTCTTGGTGGCTTTTCAGCATCAATTTAATTGCCGTATAAACGTTTTACGTACAGACAAGGAAGGTGAGTACAAGTCTCTGGATGTTTTTTGCAAGGAAGTCGGTGTCCTCGTCAGGTGAGCGAGCGTGAAAATCAGGCCAGCAAAGGATAAGCTGAACGCTTGCATCGCTTCATCATGAACATGGTGCGAAGCAAGGTGTTTGCAAGTGGGTTACCCTTGACGTTTTGGGGTAATGCTGCAGAATATGCAGCATGCATCCTAAATCGAAGACCTACCAAGGCAAACGAAGGTGGCATCTCAACTATTGACATGTTACCAAAATGACACCCGTCTTAAGTGACATTGTGTTTTTCGGATCTCCATGCAACGTGCACCGAACGACCTCAAACAAGTCAACGGGTCCTCGTGGAAAATAGGGGATCATCCTCGGCAAGAGCGATGAGATGAAAGGATATCGGGTTTTCATACCGATGGAACGTATCGTGGTGGTTAGTCAACATGTGAAAAATGTTGAGACCTTGGATAACATACAAGAGAAAAACGTGACTTAAAACGTTACATGGTACCTAAGGTCAGGAGGAGCTCGGTGACCAAGGAGGCACGAACACATCAAGGGCAAGATCATCAGGATGGACTCGTGATTTACACATGACACGGTCACGTTGAACTGACGGAGACACATCAAGTTATGTCATTGACACACACAATAATGTCAACATGGTCAGCGTTGTTCGAGACCCACGAAACTATGGTGAGGCCGTACGGAGCGAAAAAAAGGATAAATGGGTTGTGGATATCACGAATGAGCTGGATGCACTGGAGGAAAACAATGTGTGGGCGGTAGTTGTTTCACCTGACAACGCCCAAATACTACACAACAAATAATTCTTCAAGACAAAGACCGACGCCGATGGGAAAGTCGAACGATACAATTCCAGACTTGTTGCATGCGGAAACGAGCAGTCGTTTTAAGTCAACTACACCTTGACTTTTGCCGCGGTTATGATACTCGAGACAGTCTTTGTGATTCTGGTCCTCTCACGCAGATGGAACGTACCGGCCCGGCACGGCGATGTGCCCAAAGCATACGTCAAGGCTGATCAAGAAAAGGACCTCGACCTATACATATAATTATCAAGCGGTATGCAAGTGATGATGACATCTTGGTCCATCATGGAGTGGACGGGACAAAACAACTCGCGCTGTTGCTCAAAAAATCCTTGTACGGATTGAAACAAGCTGGAAGATGATGGAGCAAGCTATTGCACTCCAAGTTGACTGAGTTGAACTTCAGACAATGCAAGACGGACAAGTTTCTATACGTCAAACGTACCGGCACAGATATAACGGTCGTCGGTGTTTACGTCAACGTTTTGCTGGTGACAATAACATCAAATGACGTCGTCGTACAATTTTTTAAGGACATGGCGTCTCTCGAGATCAAGGATCTCAGCGTGGTCAAAACGTTTCTTGGACTTAGGGTCAAGCTGGACGATAACGAAGGCTACGTGTTAAATCAAGAAGTAACCATCGACTCACTGCTAAAATAACATGGACTGGCTACAGCTAACGGGGTTCGATTTCCAATAGGAGACGAATACAATAACGGCGATGAGACGAACTTGGAGTCCCTGAAACCGAATACCAAGGTTGGAGATGCAAGTGTCAAGGCTTTCCAGTCACTCGTCGAAAGTTTACCCGGATCGCGCGTTGCACTGGACCGGAAATTTGTTTAGCGGTACATCCGGCGACTCGACAGACTCACAAGCCGACAACCAAGGATTGGAGAACGGCGAAACGAGTAGCAAGATACCTGAAGAAAACCAAAATTGTAAAGTTGTGCATCAACAGCTCACGCTGTATGGACGACCTAATCAATGTTGAAAGATGGAGTGATGATGCAGACTTTGCCGCGGACAAGTAGGACCGCAAGTTGGTCACGGGATGCGTTCTGACGATGGATGGTGTTGCCGTGTCATGGGAGTGCAAGAAGCAGACGGGTGTGTCGCCGAGCACTTTAAAGCTGAATTCATCGCGGCATCCCACGCTGGTCGCGAGCTGTTTGGTTTGAAGGAACTGTTTGGCGAACTAAACATGAAGATATTCAAGCCGATGCCAATGTGGATGGATAATCAAGCCGCGATTAAGTTGCTGAAGACCCACAAGAGCTTATTAAGTGCAAAGCATGTGGACATTCGGTAAGTTCATCTGCCACTACGCTTAAGCAAACGAGGTTGAGCCACGCTTCATCAAGTCAGAAGAATTACTAAATTATCACCTGACTAAAGCGCTGGCGGCACCAAGGATGAAGGACCTACGTGCGATATTCAAGTTGAAGAAACCTTCGGATACGGTTAAGGAGGAGTTTTAGAGGCTATTGTTTTGACAGGTCGTGAAGGTCAAGGGCAATACCCTGTTACACGGTTAGTAACAACCGTACCTGATCGGCTAACAGACTTGACATCCTGACAGATGGGACGAGGTGACGATATCGCCACGTCCGACCACCGGAATGTTACACCATGTGAAGATGAGGCGACGAGATTACCAAGTCGTCTTGTTGATTTTGTAACAGATGGGACGGGGCGGGATAGACGTGAACTATAGACGATATAGTTGCAGTCCGTTTCGCATGCATGTGTAGGTACTAACAAACGAGGAAAGTTGATACTTAAAATATATCACTTTTACTTCTGCATCTTCTGCAACAAGTGCAGCAACAATACTACCAACTCCTAACATCTTTGTACCGTCATCATTTGATGACTGAGTGATGTGCCAGCCATCCATTTAGTTCGAATACTGATATTTGAATTTGTTCTAGTTTAGTCTATGAAGGGTACACAGTAGGATTTTCCGTGATATAACATCTAAGTAAACTCAGTTCTCATTTATAGCGGAAGTCCGCAGACTTCCCTTCCTTTCGCACGTTGCGCGTGACAGTTCCTTAGAACTATCGTGGGTTAGAGAGCCCTTAGGCGCCTGTGTTCCCCTTGTACATTGTGCATGTAGCTCCTTAGAACAACCGTCGTCTGAGCTAATAGCTCATAGAGTCCGCGCTAGCTCCGTCGAACTAGCTGATTGTTTAACTTGATATACTAGTTCCTTAGAGCTATTCGGCTAATAGCCCTCAGAAATAATTGGCTTTTAGCCGTAAGCCTCTAACTTAACCCGTAACTTCTTCCTATGACTTAAGAGCTGTGCTAGCTCCGCTACACTTGGTAGCACTTGTAGTCAATTCTACATTCGAGTCGTTTTCGACTGATTCTTCGTAAAGAGATGGAGAGACTTGACTACCTCTCCAAAGGCCCAACGTCTCACTCTCAGTTAGCTTAATGCGTGGGTCGGGATCGAGCAGGTCGTTCACATTGTGGCCCAAGGCCCAGAAGTGCACAATGCACGCCTTGATGCGTTCATGCAGTTTGGAGCCACGCAGATCGGGCATGTCCATGGCCATTATCTTCGCGGTACCTACACGGTACATTCCAGTAGATGACAGTGAACCAAAGTCTCGTCCGCTCGCTCTTAGCGTTAAGACTTTCGACGGAAATGGGGGGAAGTCTCCTTCTCTGGATCCGATTAGTCGATATGGCTATTAAAGTCGCGATGCTCCAATCTGAGCAACAAAACGTTGGCTTAGCCATTTTGAAACTAGACGGTAGAGCCAGAGAATGGGCTCTGACTTGTGATGCGTCGGTAGAAGCTGCGTTTCCCACGTGGGATTCGCTTGATAAACGAGAGATGGCTCGGGTGTTCACACTACCAATTCAAGCGTACCGTGTACGCTCCCGATTCCTTGCCACCAGGCAGGGAAAGAAAGAATTATCGGACTTTGTCCAGGGCTTGCGAACTCTCATAGCTGCCATGCATCTGGAACCTCTTCCAGAGCAAGTACGTGTCACCATTTTTATGGAAGGAATTCGTACTGCGGTCGCGAGGGCGGAAGTATTCCGCGTCTACCCCTCAGCGATTGAGGGGGCTGTAGACCTAGCGTTGACCGGGGAGGCCAACTTTAAAGCCGCTCGCTATGGCACGCATGGGCATGCCCGAAAACCGTTTGACGGGGCTGTGTCCATGAACATCAGCCATGCCGAAGAAGAAGAAGTCGAGCCTTAAGCTGTTAAACAGCAACGTAACATCCGTTGAAGTTGTACGTGCGTGAGCACGAAACACTTGCGTCCACAGTGCCCGCTGCGGAAACCGCGTCAAAGTCGGCAGAGTTGCAATCCTTCTCCTAACCCGAAAATGGGTACGGAGCGGGAAAACGTCGTTTCCAAGCCGGCGCGGAGCTCCCTACTGGGGAAAAACTAGGCTCTTCCGAATTTCTAGGTGGTAGGGATAGACAGGGATTATCTTCCTACGGACACGTGGAGCTCACCACGAGGCGTAAGTGTAAGCCAGGTTATTTAGTTGCCTTGGCTAAGATTAAATGCTCTGAATAGCCGTTGTCACTTTTGATTGACTCCGGGCGTCGGGAAACTATGTTCGGCGCCGATCCCTTAAGGGATGTCAGAGGCATGATGAGGTGCTCAAAGCGCATGAGGGTGATGTTATCACTGTTTGCTTGGCGACAGGGACCGGTGTCACCGTAAATAAAGTGCCATTGATCATAGGCTTAAAGTTGTAAGACTTCGATTGTATCGAACGTTGTCTTATCGTTGATTTGGACTCGAGAATGACCTCATCCTTGGGACGGCTTGGCTGGAACGCCATGAACCATATGTTGATTGGAGATCAAAGACCTTGGCCGCAACGCGCAATGTTGTTAGCGAAGCTTTGGAGAGTCACGAACCTACATTTGCTAGGCAACAAAAGCGCTATTGGCGCGAGCCACTAATTGAGTCTGCTAGTGTGCTGGACATCGGAGTGTCTGACTTAATTAACTCTGATGTCATCAACAATAGTGAAACGGTACGTGATCTGTTGAATGAAACTGTAAAAGTGGTTCACTAAATTCTAAAAGGTAGTATTGATGGCCTAGAGCCTAGTCTTCCCGATGGTGATCCCTGTGATGCGCCCGGAGTGGCACGTATAAATTCACCGGGTGAGGGAGGCTGCGATAGCACCTCACCAAATTTCGATAATGGCATCGTTGGCAATATGCCAAGACATCCAGGGCTAGTACTGAATGGTGGATGTGCAGTGGTACGTACTCCACTGAGTGAGGTTGGCCGTGATGGCACCGCACTGAATGTCGTCAATGAAATTGTTGGCGATACGCCAAGGCATCAAGAGCCATCCTCATTTAATTACAAATATCATGGAAAATAATCTACAGTGTGTGGTCGGCCGCGATGGCACCACACTCAATGCTGGTGATGACATTGGCTCTCAGATAGAGCAGTTTGAGGTTAAAGATAATCTTCACCTCGGGGAACCGGATGTTCCTAACTCTTTGAAGTTTTCAGCCTCTGTGCAGAGTTGGCAGCGGCGCCAGATGGATGCTGCAGATCTAAAGGCATCTGCCATATCCCAAAACGACAACAGTTTATAGATTTACACATTGGTCAATGGGGTGAAGGGCGATATTAATACAAAGTTGGCCTTGAGGCCCTGCCATTGCTTAACGATCTGTTAGGGCTATATGAAATGCGTGGAGACGATAATTATCAGGCCTTGAAACCCGGTGCTTTGTCTTATATGGTGGTCCTTAGACCTGACAAAGAGTTGAACTCGTCATCCCTTTTGGATGAGACAGTTTTTGAGGACATAAAAGCTGCACTCAGTGCTCGCAGTGGGTCTGCTATCTCAAAGAATCCTTCGGATCCCTTCTACTCCCCGGTTAGAGAATTTTAGAATATGGTGTGTAATGAATCACCATCTACCCTACCTCCCGACAGAGGTGTGTGTCATGAGATTGACCTGGTCCCTGGGACCAAATGTTGTGTTACAAGGCCGCAGCCTAAGAATCAGTGTGACGTCATTGAAGAGTTCTTTCGTGCAAAGCAAGCGGATGGCATCATGGGTGAAAGAAAGTCTCCGCACTCGACACCGACATTTGTGTCAGAAAACCTAATGGTAAGTGGCGTAATGTGCATGCTTGCAATAGGCTTAGCGCAGCCACTATACCGGCACAGACGCCTATTCCTGAATAGGATGTCTTTAGAACGCTATTTAGGATGTACCATGTTCAGTGCACTCGACTTGGTCGATGGGTATTACCAGTTGCTCATGCGAGCGAGTATTATTTTGCTCACATCGGTTAGTACGCCGAGTGGAATGCTGTGGGGGTGGCTTGTTATGCCCCAAGGTCTATTTAATGCCCCTGCAACGCTCAATCATCTCGTGACGCAGTTGTTCCGATTTCACCAAGTATGTGCACAAAGCTATTTTGACACCCTTTTATGTTCATAGCTGTGCGGGAAAAGAAGGTCAGATGTGAAGAGTCACAAACACCATTTACGAGCAGTGCTCGGGTGAATACGCACCAATAAGTTGTATGCAAATGCATAAAATGCATCTTTGGTGCTGCAGAAATCCCCTTCTTAGGGTGCTTCATCGAGAAGTGCGGCCTGCAGGCGGACCCGCTCTAGCAGAATCCATTTTGGATCGGCCGGCTCCTTAAAACCAAAAGGACTTGCGTAAATGGCTCGGTCTACCCAATTACTAGCACAAGTATAGCGCAAATTACGCTTATATGGCAAAACCATAAACCAACCTCCCTAAAAATGATTCGGTTTGGTGTTGGGACACATTCCAGGCTCAATACTTTCATGCTATCAAGGACAGTCTCCTTCATGCCTCAATTATGGCTTTGCCTGACCTGGAGCAACCTTTCAGTGTTGTCTGTGACGCGTCCAATTTTGCCATTGGCAGTGCATTATTGCAGACATATGTCGATGGACATGAACGCGTCATCGCGTGTGAGTCGCGCTAGCTGAAAGCTGCAGAACAGAATTATCCAGATCTTGACAGTGAGCTACTGGCAATGAAGTAGGCCTTTGTAAAAGTAAGAGTGCATCTACATAACTTAAAGACGTTTGTGATCTATACCGATCATGCGTCGTTACGCACTGCGACACAGTCGCCTGACCTCTCACATCAAATAACTCATTGCATTTCATTCTTTGCAGAATATAATTATGAGGTGGAGTTCAAGCTAGGAAAGAAAAATGCTTTGGCTGATGCATTGACACGCAGGCACGATTACGAGCTTGCTCATGTTACGACTCTTTCGTCATTAGTCCCTGATTTTATCCGTGCGGATTATTCCAAGGATGAGTAGCGTGTCGCGTTATTGCGTGCACTAGTTTGTGATGAGTTCAGAGACTCGGACATTAAGATGTCGGCACGATTACGTGCGGGGCTACTTCAATATTCGATCAATAATATTCTACTATGATATAGCACGGATGCGGTGGATACTTCGCGCATTTTAGTTCCTCACGATACGGAGCTGAAGTATCGTATCCTCTTTGAAGCGCATGATACAGCTTTGAGCGGACATCTCGGTCGAGAAAAGACCTATGGCTCGGTCAGCCAAAAATATTGGTGGCCCAAATTGTAATAATGGGTGAACACAAATGTGCGTACGTGTGAAACGTGTCAACGCGTTAATAGTTCCGCCCATACGGCTGCGCCTTTGGCGAGTGTACCTGTTTTCACTGGTTGTTGGAATTCCATCAGTATGGACTTTGTGTTTGGCCTACCGAAAGATTCGGATGGCAACACTAGTATCGTGGTCTTTGTTGACCGTTTAAGCAAGATGGCTCATTTAGCGGCTGCGCAAGACTCGACTAATTGTGAACGTATAACACAGCTGTTTATTGATCAGGTCTTTCGTCAACATGGTTTGGCCGTTTGCAAATGGTTCAGACCGTGATCCTAGTTTACTTGGAAATTTTGGAAGTATATAGTCAAGGTGATAGGTACCAGGTTGGACATGTCTACAGCGGATCATCCACAGACCAATGGTCGAACCGAGCGTGTAAACCGCGTGATTGCTGATATTTTACGCAGCGTGTGCGCCAATACGCTTCGGCGTTGGAGCTTCATGCTCCCTGTAATCGAATTTGCCATGAACAACTCGGTTCATGCCTCAACTGGCTGTACGACGTTCTATGTAAACGGTCTAACACCCCCCCCCGCGTTCCGTTAACGCTACCATCCCGTGAGTCAGGGCTTGGTGGAGGAGGGATCGCCGATAGGCTTGCTGGTGTCAGCCCTGCCACTTTTCAGAAGCAGGTTGTAGAGTTCTTTGCAACAAGGTTGAACGTCTTACTACATGTTCGGGACGCAATGGCTGAAAGCCAAGATAAACAAAGGAGCAAGCAGATAGAAAAGGAAGAAATTGTATTGAAAGTTACGAGGTAGGTGACCAAGTTTACTTTCTGCTATAAACCTACCTACGAATGCACTATCTGCGGTCCTTAGGACGAAGTTGCGTCCGCGCTTCATCGGATCGTTTACGGTCGTGGCCAAGAAGGTCATTGCGTGTACAATCAGCTTACCGCGCATATTGCGTACTTCCTCCGTCTTTATGTCGTCATGCTTAAGATGTACCGGGATCCGTCCCTTGTTGACTCGAGGGCGCTGGCGCCGCGTACATTGGAGTTGCCACAGGATGTTGCATTCGGATTAAGAGATCAAGCTGTGCTTCAACACGATTCAGAAGTGTCTTCATTGTCTGAAGACGGGCGTGATCGCCTTCAAGCGTCGCCAGACGAGATTGCGCTTCGTTCAGAGCATGCTGGGATTAACATAAACTCTCACGGAGTCTATTCACATCTTTCGACAGATTCGAGGGGCTCTCAGCCTATACGCCGACCGCCACCGGCGCTGCTTGGTAGTCATGGGAACCTCCAGTTCCATGCAGAGAAGTTACTTAAACGACGTCGTCGTCATGGTCACTACTAGTACCTGGTGAAGTGGCGTGGGTCTCCCAAGTCTGAGAACTCATGGGAGTATGAGATATCCCCTCGGCAAGACTGCCCATATGCCGTGGAAGTTTTTGAGCGCTACGATCAGGCCCGTCTTGACGAGCACCACGCTTCTCAAAGGCAGAGTGGGAGGGGCGTGTTTGTGTCAAAATACTTACGCGAACTCGTGGCTGTAGAAGCAGCCGAAACATAGCGGGAATGAGATAATTCCTTCAGTCGGCCTTTGGCCTTTAAGTTCGCAATGTCGTGGCGAAGCTTTCTCGCTCCAGAAAAACGTCTGTCACACTGGCACTTGCTCTCAGAGGTATCATACTACTTAAGCGTTGAACGCCATGTACCCAGCATATGAACGCATTATCCTCTGAGACGTCGTTCTCACCCTCAGACATTAAGACGGGTGTTGTAACGGGGTGAATCGTTACATAACAATTTATAAGAAATTGTTAATAGAATATAACTATAAGAGTTATATTCTCAGAATATTGTCATAAGGACAAATATTCTGTAGCACTTACGAGTAGTTCCTAATTGGTTGATATAGGCCATTATATCAACCAACGAAGACGCGCCACGACAGACGCACGCAATGAGTGGTGAGCAGATAACTGATCTACACATTTGTATTTAGACATAGTTAGATGAAGATAAATAGTGATTTATTGTAGACATTAACAATCATAAATACAGTTCTACTTTTTACTCTAACCAAGTACTCGCTACTTCTTACCGTCTTCCTCTGCACGTACGAGTGTACTTGAAGTTACGAGGCACCGCCTTATTCTGTCATCAGAATAAGTAGCTTGTACTGTCACCAGTACAAGCTTCAGGGTGCCCCGTTACAGGTGTACCCTTTATCGGTGTAACTGGTGTGCCTTTGGCCTGCTTCTGGAGTCTTTCTCGATACTCACTCAAGTTCATCACAGTCAGTAGGTTCCAAATACCTATCATGAAGAGTTTTTCGGCATTCGATTTCAGTGGGCGTTTTCGTCTTGGGGCCAGTGGCCCATCCTACGAAAGAATGTCTAGCTGTTTGACGGATGCGTTCTTCCACGTCAGGCGGAGTGAATGTGTATTTACGGTTTTGCTGTAATGTGGTCAGAATTTCCAATTTGCGCCGTGTGCTTTCTACCTGATCGAGTATGCGTTGTTACTTCTAGTCAAGTGGGTTACTGATGATAAATGGGTTCATGTTAGGCATAGCATCCAGCGCTGTTGGCGCAGTCGCGGCACCACGTTCAGGGAACGAATTAGGTGCCGGACATGGGATGCGTCCACACAGATTTGCTAGGTTAGGATTGCTTATCCCCCTGGGTGGCAGTACTACGAGCACTTCTGTCGTCCATTGCCTCGACACCAAGGAATACAGATAGAGCCTCATCTTCCGTTAGGTGTCTCGGTCTATCTATGATGACAAGTTACAAAGTAAAAACCTCAATGAGGAGACAAGTCGAGTGACGTTTAGTGTTAGCGTCAGTCTGGTGGAAAGACTGTAACGGGGTCACGCTAGCCATTAGCGAAATTGATTGAAGACCTCCTATATGTGATGTGCGAAACAAGTGTGGCCCTATGTGTTATATTGATAGAGAATATCGATTGATCGATATTCTCTGGGTTACGGTACTTACCGTGGAAGTACCTTGTACCGTCATCATTTTATCACTAATTGATGTGCCAGCCATCCATTTAGTTCGAATACTGATATTTGAATTTGTTCTAGTTTAGTCTATGAAGGGTACAAAGTAGGATTTTCCGTGATATAACATCTAAGTAAACTCAGTTCTCATTTATAGCGGAAGTCCGCAGACTTCCCTTCCTTTCGCACGTTGCGCGTGACAGTTCCTTAGAACTATCGTGGGTTAGAGAGCCCTTAGGCGCCTGTGTTCCCCTTGTACATTGTGCGTGTAGCTCCTTAGAACAACAGTCGTCTGAGCTAATAGCTCATAGAGTCCGCGCTAGCTCCGAATGTAACGGGGTGAATCGCTACATAACAATTTATAAGAAATTGTTAATAGAATATAACTATAAGAGTTATATTCTCAGAATATTGTCATAAGGACAAATATTCTGTAGCACTTACGAGTAGTTCCTAATTGGTTGATGTAGGCCATTATATCAACCAACGAAGACGCGCCACGACAGACGCACGCAATGAGTGGTGAGCAGATAGTTGATTTACACATTTGTATTTAGACATAGTTAGATGAAGATAAATAGTGATTTATTGCAGACATTAACTATCATAAATACAGTTCTACTTTTTACTCTAACCAAGTACTCGCTTCTTCTTACCGTCTTCCTCTGCACGTACGAGTGTACGTGAAGTTACGAGGCACCGCCTTATTCTGTCATCAGAATAAGTAGCTTGTACTGTCATCAGTACAAGCTTCAGGGTGCCCCGTTACACCTGGTAGCACTTCGTAGTCCGTCCAAGGACCACGTTCACATCTAACATGAATATATAAGATGATGAAGATGACCAAAGCTTTCACGCTACGCGTGACGGCTACTCCCATTTGAGCGATGTCGAATGGGATGCGGTTAAACGGATGGGTTCAACCATGGGCATCCATGCTGTTAGCGTCATGCTAGAGGCTCTCAATAGAGATGCCCAACATGCTACTATCGCCAAGTTCATTCAAAATGAACTTGACGCAGAACGCGAGAAAGTATCCTTGCTTCACCAACAAGGTTCTCAACAAGCAGAGTTGTTGAGAGAACAGGGTGCTCAACAGTTTGAACTGTTGAGACAGCAGCAGGCTGCTGCTGGTGGGTCGATGCACTCGCGTCGACCCGAAACCTTGAAGATTGACATCTCCAAGTATTTAGGAGTCGAAGAGGACTCCCTCTTGAGATGGTTCGTCGAATTGGATGACGCCATAAGGGCGCGCCGCATCGACGACGGGGATACGCAAGTTGCATTCGCCCAGTCAAATCTGGCAGGACGTGCCAAGACTTGGGCACTGGGGCTCAAGTTGCACGACCCATATGCGTTTGGGTCGTTGGAAGTCTTCAAGTCGCGGCTCAGACAAACGTTTGAACCGCCTAGAGCTGAGTTCAATGACACACCCGTGGCTTGCAGAGGGGTGATCGGTCCGCGAGCCTTGCTTGAGAGGGTCTTGCGGAGTCAAAGGTAAAATTGAGAATGTATTGAATACCATGTTAGCCTACCGTGCCTACCTGAATGCTTCATCTAATTCCATCTATCCATCAACCATCCATCAATCCATCCATCCGATTGTTCTTCGCTTAGTCGTAGCTTGGTCGTGGAGTAGGATCCATCCATCATTAACCAGTGTATGAGGCAGTTATGTCATACTCCCCCCCATGAAGCAATTACACTAGCATGGGAAGATGCGACGAATCGATAGCCGTTGCGTCGTCGCGCCTTTGTCAATAGTGACAGATCCATTTTCATGCACAATGCTAACGGGGTAGGGCCCATCTGCCACTTCCTTAGTCTTTGCGCGAAACTGTTTAGGTCTTCGAATCATTATGTGGTCGCCGGGATGGTAAAAGTGCACGAGCCGTTTGGTATTTTCGCGTGTGTTGTCAGCTAGGATAGCCCGAAACCGCCGTTTTGACAGGTAACTCCAATTTGCCTCGTGCAGTTGACGTGAAATCATGTCTTGTCCAAAAATGCGACGAATCGATAGCCGTTGCGTCGTCGCGCCTTTGTCAATAGTGACAGTTCCATTTTCATGCACAATCCTAATGGGGTAGGGCCCATCTGCCACTTCCTTAGTCTTTGCGCGAAACTGTTTAGGTCTTCGAATCATTATGTGGTCGCCGGGATGGTAAAAGTGCACGAGCCGTTTGGTATTTTCGCGTGTGTTGTCAGCTAGGATAGCCCGAAACCGCCGTTTTGACAGGTAACTCCAATTTGCCTCGTGCAGTTGACGTGAATCAGAGCTCGAACCGAACTCTTGAAGCTCAAGCAGGGTAAGCGTGATGTGCACGCTTACGCGCAACATATACGACATCTCACGAGTTGTATTAGTTCCAATCCGGTGGATGAACACACGTTGGTTTCGGTGTTCATGCAGGGTCTTGCGGATGGTCCCGTCAAGACTCACCTGTTCCGGCTTGAACTAGATTCACTAGAACAAGCCATTTCCATTGCGGAGCAGGAAGACTTCAGTCTGAGACAGGCTCGCGCCAGCTCGACATCATATCGTCAACCGAGACGATATGACAACGGAGGTCCAGAGCCGATGGAACTCTGTTATGTAGAGAGCGAGAAGGCTCGCTCTACAGGCTACAAGAAGTTGCAGAGATGCAACAGATGTCAAAAGACAGGACACTACGCTTACGAGTGTAGTGCCCCTCGTCCAGTGTCTCGCGACACTGGGCGTAGTGACCGTCCACCCATGAGAAAGGGGCAGGGACGAGGGTCCGCTGTTGGTGCAAAGACGCAACAACGGGATGGACCGTCAAAAAACGGACAGGATCAGTAGGTGCGGAGCACTCTACTGGTTCAGCAACGTCAAGAGAATTTGTAGGCCTCTTGATGAAGGTTGCTCCCAACACACAAACATTGTGCGTTGCTGCTCCAGGTAATGAGATCTCACTCATTACCTTGCAACTCGAAGTGACGAATAAGTTGTCCCTTCGATCTCTAGTCGATTGTGGGGCGTCCAACAATTTTGTGCGACGCCAATCGCTAGAAGATGGTCACTTTAAATTCAGTGAATGTGACACACCTCCTACGAGGATGACGGTACGTCTTGCGACAGGCGCATCCGTAACCGTCATGAAGCGTATAGTGAAGATCCACTATATGCTAGAAGATACCCAATATGTCGATGACTTTATCGTATTGGATTTGGATGACAAATTTGATGTCATCCTTGGAATACCGTGGCTCAGAAGGTACGAACCACGAGTAAACTGGCAACATCGAACAGTAACGATGCCTGCCGCTTGTTCATCAGATGGCCATCTGATGAACGTTTTGGAGCGTCCACAAGCGTGTGGATGTACTACGAGTGAGTGCGATGGCCTCACTTGTGGTACGGTCGTTAGTACGACTGCACAAAACCTTAGTGTACCAAACGGTTACACTTCGGAGCAAAGTTCCGGCGGCTGTGAGGAAACACAGGCTGCGCCGAAGGTCCACCACTCGAATAAGTCGGGTGGACTGGGACAAAGATGTATCCCTAGCGGGGAACATCTAAAAGAGAAACAATCGATCGCTCAGGTTAAGCGAAACGATAATCCTAGATCGACTGGAGAGTCTTTCGTAGAGGATCTCGCTGTGGTTGCGCAACCCCAGCTAGAGGAAGTAAAGGGAATAAGTCCCAAGATTACAAATACGGCGGAAATAAGTTCCCCGAAACCCGCGGGAAGAAGTCCCCAGGAACTGACAGAGACATTGAATGTCATAGTCAATAACGGATCAAGTGTAGGCGCTTATTTCGGAGATCATTCAGTTGCCAACGCTCGAACATAAAAGGTTCTTGCGTGATCTGCGTAGTGGCAAAGTCAAGCAGATATGCGTACTCGTCGCTGACGACGAGTGTGTAACCGACATAAGGTCAGCAACAGTGTTCACTGGGAACGAGAGAGTTCTCAGTAGTTCATCTATGGACGAGAGTGTCCTAGATGAAAAGACACGAGTTGAGCGATATGACTCCCAATCATGGGAATCGCTCAAGACAAATCCTCTCTATGAAGATTTGGTTGAATTCAAGGATGTATTCCCTGAAACTGTTCCGTGCGAATTAACGAAGGATAAAGGTATTCGGCACGAGGTCGAGCTTAAACCAGGCTCGAAGTACTGTGTCATGAAGCAGTGGCCACTGTCTTGTGAGAAAGTACTTGCGATCGACAAGCTCTTTGCCGATCGTTTAGCTGCGGTCCATGTGAGGGAATCAACTTCCCAACATAGCTGTCCGACCTTCTGTGTACGAAAAGCAATAGGAGGGTGGCGGATTGTGCATGCATTTAACAAGTTGAATGCTGCAACGGTACCGGCTCAGACGCCGATACCAAGGAAGGACGTAATCATTGATGTTATGTCAAAGAGTACCATCTTTTCTTCCATGGATGTGAGGGATGGCTTCTATCAAATCCTTATGCGAGAACGGGATATACCCTATACCGCAGTTAGCACGCCTAGCGGCATTCTCTGGGAGTGGCTAGTAATGCCACAAGGGCTTAGTAATGCCCCTGCCACGTTCAACAGATGTGATACACATCTGTTGAGACCAGTACGAGAATTCGCGCCGAGTTATTTCGATGACTTATTCATCCATAGTCGAGCTATGGATGGAAAGTCGGACGTTGAGGTTTACAGGTACCACGTCCGACAGGTTCTTACAATCATGCGAAAGCATCAATTGTATGCTAACCTCAAGAAGTGTATATTTGCAGCAAGCGAAATACCACTTCTTGGGTGCATCGTTGGTAAGAACGGTGTACGTCCTGATCCCGAAAAGATCAAGGCGATCACCGACTGGCCTGTGCCGGTTGATGTCAAAGGTCTTCGAAAATTCCTTGGGCTAGCGGCGTATTTGCATAAGTATTCACGCAATTACGCCGAGATGACTGTGCACCTCTCTCGTTTGTTGAAAAAGAACGAGAGGTGGTTATGGAACGCTGAATGTCAACGCTCCTTTGAGGGTATCAAGCAGAGCTTGATACAATCCCCAGTCCTAGCAATAGCCGATCAGGACAGGCCATTTCATGTGGTCTGTGATGCCAGCGATTTCGCAATCGGCTGTGCATTAATGCAGTACGACCTAGAAGGCGTTGAACGCGTCGTCTGCTATCAGTCGCGTCAGCTGCAACCAGCTGAGCGGAACTATCCAGTGCATGACAAGGAACTCCTTGCCATGAAGTATGCACTCGCGAAGTTCAGAGTCTATCTATTAGGAGATAGACCCTTCGTTGTTTACACTGACCATGCGTCATTACGCACGGCAGTGAACAGCCCGCACCTTTCACAACGAATGGCGCGGTGGTTGTCATTCTTTGCGGAATACAACTTTACGGTCGAGTACAAACCAGGACGACTTAATGTCGTCGCTGATGCACTCTCACGTCGTCCCGACTTTGAAACAGTCGCGAAACCCAACAGTGAGACAGTCACTGTTGCGGTTATGACGTCCTCAGTCCCATCTACAACGTTGTATGATGATGTGAGGCGGGCATACGCCCAAGATGGTGAGATTGTAAAGTTGTTGACACATCTCTCACAACCATCTCGAGAATCGTTGAAACGATTATCGTCTGCGTATCGATCTGCATCAGATCGATACACTACTCGCAACGGGTTACTGCATTATACAGCCGTTTCTGGTGACACACCACGTGTTGTCATTCCAGATGATACTGATCTGCGTTTGCGGATCATGTTCGAGTATCACGATGCTCCTATAGGAGGACATCGTGGCCGGGAGAAAACTTATCTCACGGTGAGTCAAGACTTTTACTGGCCCCGCCAGTATCAGTTTGTGCGAAAGTATGTTCGCGCATGCGAAGTCTGCCAACGAGTGAAGTCAAGTCCTTCACTGCGTGCACCTTTACAGCCTCTACCGGTTCCGGCTGAGTGCTGGGAATCCATCTCAATGGATTTCGTCTTCGGGTTACCCAAAGACGCACGCGGGAATACGGGTATTCTCGTATTTGTTGACAGATTCAGCAAAATGGTACACCTTGTGGCTGTACCAGAGACAATCACGGCAAGTGGCTGTGCCTGTGTCTTAATTGACACCTTCCTCCGACTTCATGGGTTGTCCCGTGAACTCGTATCAGACAGAGATCCACGATTCACTGCTGATTTCTGGCGTTCCATGTTCAAATCACTCGGAACGCGCTTGAAGATGTCTACATCTGATCATCCAGAGTCAGATGGTCAGACGGAACGTGCCAATCGTGTCCTTGAAGAGATAATTCGAGGATACGTTGACTCCTTTAAGAGTTGGAGTGAGTTTTTGCCAATGGTAGAGTTTGCCATCAACAACTCGGTGCATGCGTCCACGACACATACACCGTTTTACGTGAATGGCTTGCGCCATCCGCGTGTACCCACCTTACTAGAGTGTAACTCTGGTTTAAGAAGGGAGGGACTCGCGCGAGCAAAAACCGATTTGGTTCACGCTCATCACGCTCTGACAATGAGGTCATTGCGTTTGATGCCGATATCGATAACATCGATATAGAAGAAGATGATGCCAGTGAGAGTGCGGAAGCCCTCACTGAAGAAAAGGTTGATGTTGCTGCAGTGCGCTCACAGCACACTGAAGCTAACGAGTCATTAGATGAGTTCAGACTGGCTCGTGAAACGGTAGTTCGTTTTGTGCAAGACTCCATCGCCGAAGCGGTGGATAAGCAAAAGCAAAACGCTGACAAGAATGGAAGGGCAAACACTCTTTTATTTAATAAAGGTGACTTAGTCCTACTGTCTACGGTTAATCTACCAAAGCATGTAGTGACTAACTTGGGTAGCAGTAAACTACTACCCAAGTACATCGGCCCATTTCGTGTATTGCACCGCCTAGGCAATGCATACACGATCGAGTTACCACGTAAGATGCGAACGCATCCCACGTTTTACGTTGGTCGGCTTAAGCCGTACCATCAGTACGCTGCTTCTTCCGATGAAGAACGCCCTTGCGCTCAAGCATCTCGCAGAGAGCCTTGTGCTCCCGATGGTGGGCCTCAACAAGGGTCTGAAGAGCAGCTATCTCATCCCGAGACCGATCAGCAATCCCACGAGCTACCCTTAGCTCGTCACGAAGAGATGTCAGAGATCTCTCGTTCTCAAGCTGAGCAAAAGCAAACTCAGCTCGATGCTTCGAGGCAGTGTCCGCCATTTGGAGACGCCTATTCCGCTCATGCTCGAGATCGTCGCGTAATCCTTGCGTTACGCGGTCAAAGAAGCTCTCGGGAACACACCGATCCACATGATCGTGTGGAGAGCGTCTTTCCTCCTCCTCCACCTCCATTAGAGGACTCTCGCGGTGGCCAGCGCTATCTAGTTGAGCAGCTGTTGAACCACCGCGACGTGAACGGACGTCGGACGAGTTATCTCGTCCGGTGGCGCGGCTATCCCCCGTCCTGGGATTCTTGGGAGCCCCGCTCCCAACTGATGATCGACGGACTGGGTCTGGTTGATCAGTACGACGCGGCACATCCTGTGCCGCAGAAGGACCGCCGGAGAAAGTCTTCCCGGCACGGTCGTAAAGGGATTTCAAGTTGTCAATCCCTTCGTACATCTCAATAGAGATACGTACGCGCCACCACGGGATAGTAAGGAGGTAAGCCTCCTTAGGTGCTCGTGCAGAGTTGTTCACACAACATGGGCACGAGTCTCCCCAAGAGAGGCAGGGTAATCCTTTCTCCCTTGACAGACGATGCAGCTTGTAGCGTGCACCTGTCGGGGTTCGCTTTTCAAACTTATCACGAGCTTTGACAAGTTTGTCGTTCCAAACGTCACGACCTACATCCTCGAGGTTATGGATGTAGGCGTTCCACGCCTGAAGTAGTGAGGGACCATCACGTTTGTGGTTCCCACTGTACCATCGATGTCTAAAGAAAGCATTGATGAAGAATTCATTCTCAGCGCGATAGTTTTTCGCGCTGGGGTCAAGGTGATGGATCCTTGACGAATCGAACAACCGTGTTCGATGACGATCACTCGTCGTCGCCGACAAATGATCCCATGACAGATTTAGGAGACATCCATGCCTTCTTTTCAGGAGCGAGACGCAACACATTGCGGTCCCGCTCTTCCTGCGACGTGCCGACAGAAGTACTGGCACCTCGTTGCAAAGTGGTGTCCATAGGAGAACCGACACCACTGTTAGCGCCCGAGTCTCGCGACCTCGAGCGCCTTCGCTTCGGCGATGGTTCATCTGATTCATCAGATGAACCAAAGATGCTGCGACGCAAAGCATCGTCCATGCCACGCTTGGCAGGCGGCTCGGATTCGATCGCCGTCGATACGGATCCGTCTTCCGTATCAGGAGAGTACGAGACACCGAGCTCGTACTCTGTGAAGACACGAGTGTCTTCATGACCAGCGCCTGCATCACCAAGTGACACAGGCTGGGTCGCTTCAGCAACCGATGAGACATCAGTTGCTGTGGTTTCTGCTTCGGCGTCCGCACAGAGACGTGCGGATGCGCTCTCGGCGGCCTTGCTCGCGCATCGCATGGGCTTGTTAACCATGCGATGAAATGTTGGGAAGTGGACTCGGACCAACAAGTGCAAACCCTGTCCCAAATGATTTGGGACGAGTATCCATTTAGTCAATCAGTCACTAAAGTGACTGATGGTTAAGGGGGGGGTGATGTAACGGGGGGGGTGATGTAACGGGGTGAATCGTTACATAATAATTTATAAGAAATTGTTAATAGAATATAACTATAAGAGTTATATTCTCAGAATATTGTCATAAGGACAAATATTCTGTAGCACTCACGAGCAATTCCCAAAGGGTTGATATAGGCCATTTTTTTAACCAACGAAGACACGCCACGACAGACGCACGCAATGAGTGGTGAGCAGACGGTTGATTTACACATTTGTATTCAGACATAGTTAGATGAAGATAAGTAGTGATTTATTGCAGACATTAACTATTATAAATACAGTTCTACTTTTTACTCTAACTAAGTACTCGCTTCTTCTTACCGTCTTCCTCTGCACGTACGAGTGTACGTGAAGTTACGAGGCACCGCCTTATTCTGTCATCAGAATAAGTAGCTTGTACTGTCACCAGTACAAGCTTCAGGGTGCCCCGTTACACCGTAGAACTAGCCGATTCTTTAACTTGATGTACTAGTTCCTTAGAGCTATTCGGCTAATAGCCCTCAGAAATAATTGGCTTTTAGCCGTAAGCCTCTAACTTAACCCGTAACGTCTTCCTATGACTTAAGAGCTGTGGTAGCTCCGCTACAAATATCTCGTAACGCGCTACTCCGTTACATGACGTGTAAGGTACACCTAGCACTATATCTTTTACAAAGACGCCAACAGACTAAATCGCACTTAATGTGACGTTTAAGGTTCTTCCAGCGTTATTTACAGATAGACTGACACACGCACTCAGATAAGTACGAATTTAAAAAGCTCGGCATTCGACCTTGCGCACAGTCACCAACACCTTCACCTTTCGGGCTCGTAATCATGTAACTAACGGACTCACCCTGTTACAGTTTTCTCTTGGGCAAAGTAGCACACAAATTGACTGCAGAATGAAAGGGTCCGGCTCGAAATCAACAGATCTTAATCAGTCTCTTGCAAAGTGTTTGCCCCTGAGGCGTTGGTGAAAAAAAGGTTATCTCGAATAGAGTATGTGACAGCTCAATTTGTGCAGGAATTGATCTCGCACCTTACGAGGCACATCCAAGCAAATGATAAAGTTTGACGGATGACAGCTATAGTTACATCGCTTGCACTGATCATTTTCACCATCCTTCGCAAACACCAACTCAGGGGATCGGTTTGCTCGGTCTGTATCAGACTTGATGAGGCACATGACGAGTCAAGCCATTCCTCCCGGTGACCCGACCACGGAGGGTTTGCCACAACCGCAACGAATCGACCAAAGGGCGAAATTTAATGAGTTGTCTCGGACAAACCGTTCACAGTCATTAAACTCCAAAGCATATCGACCCAGCGCTGGGATTAGAATTTAAAGATGCGGTGTATATTGGTAATGGTGTTGGTTACTGATACTAATGACCATATGTCATGGACGACACTGTGTGATAGTGTGTAACGATGGGATCGACTCATCGTTTTGTTACTAATATTATAGAGTCGATATCGATAGGCTTAGAGTAGTACAACGAGACGAACTAAGGACCTAGCTAGATGATAATTCACTTTCCATTTTACCTTCTTCTAAGCTCTCCCACCTCAACTCGCTCTTGGCAGTTGCCAAAAGTCAAAAGGTTATGAGCCCAACTACGCCGGATGCGGGCGACATACTCTGCGAAGATAACTATTTTGTGTGGGAGTTCGGCGCAAGGATGAGGCTGGCAAAGAAAGGGTTGCTAGATCATTTGGATGCTATGAAGACCCCAGGAAAAGGAGACGTAACTGCGTCAACTTGGGAAGTCAACGACATGAAGGCCTTCGAGATCGTGACAACAATGATCAGCAAGAATCTGCAGTCAATGGTGCGCACGGCAGAGACAACGGCAAAAGCATGGGACATACTGAAGACTTTCTTCCTGCGGCAAAGTATGCACAATCGTGTGCAGTTGCGGCGGCAACAACATGAGTTCAGGTTGGCGAAGGGAGGAAGCATTATGGATCACTTTCCGAAAGTCGACGAGCTGTGCATGACTATGCAAGCTGTGGGACAAGAGATCTCACAGGATGAGCATTTGGTCATCCTATTGGGTAGTCTAACGAGAGACTATGACCCCATCGTCAAGATAATTGAGAACATGCCCGGAATGACACTGTTTCACGCTAAGGAAATGCTGAGACGGGAGTACGATGGAATGGCGAGGACAGAACACCAAGAAATCGCACTGAAAAGTACGCACACTTCCAAGTACAAGAAAGGTCCGCGCAGACATATGGGGAGATCAAGTTCAAGAGGTGAAAAGTTCTCGGGAAGGTGTTACCGATGTAACAAATATGGACACAAGCGTCAAGATTGCAAGGCTGAACAAGTGGAGACAGAGCGATCTGGAGAAGAGAGAGCATTTACTGCGTCAAGTCGGACGTCAGCTGGATGGTTATTGGACAGTGGGGCAAGCAGCCACATGTGTCCCGACAGAAATGAGTTTTCGAATTTAAACTCACTGACGGACCCGATCATGATCACCATAGCAGACGGCAGCGAAGTGGAAGCGCAAGGTGTTGGGACAGTGCGCGTGCAACTCAAGACTGGTGAAGTGATCAGGATCGAAGAAACGCTATGGGTGCCGGGCCTAGACCGAAGGCTACTGTCAATATCGGCATTGTCAAAGAGGGGTCTACAAGTGATCTTCTCAGATCTGAGCTGTCAGATCAGAAGTAACACGGAAGTCGTTGCCCAAATACCAAGACGAAACAAGATGTACGTCTTAGAGTGCAGTCCGGCTGAGGTAGCCAACGTTTGCGAAGAGACATCTCAAGAGCAAGAATCAGGTGACGGATCAGGAGCGGCTGATCTACAAGTGTGGCATGCAAGATTAGGTCACCTGTCAACGAAGATGCTCAAGGGTATGGCAGGTTGCGTCAATGGATTAAAGATCAAGAAGAATCAAGGCGTTGAAGATGATATCGAGATCTGCGAAGGGTGCATCATGGGTAAAGCAACCGTCAAGACGTTTCCGAAGTCACCATACGGACACGTGAAAACCAAGGAAGTGTTGCAGTTGGTCCACAGTGATGTCATGGGACCTATGGAATCGAAGTCTCGAGGAGGATCAAGATTTGTCGTGACTTTTATTGATGATTATTCGAGATATATAGTCGCATACTATATTGAGAACAAGTCGGAAGTGACGGATCGCTTTATAGAGTATAAGGCACTTATGGAGAATCAACTGTCCAAGAAGATCAAGTGTATCAGGACGGACAACGGGACGGAATACGTCAACAGACGTTTCTCCGGTGTATGTCGAAAATCTGGTATCATGCATCAGACGACGGTACCCTATTCGCCACAACAGAATGGGCTGGCCGAACGCATGAACAGGACACTGACAGAGCGGGCCAGAGCAATGCTCAGCCATATGCAAGTGGATAAAATTTGGTGGGCTGAGGCGATGAACACGGCAGTCTATGTGACAAACCGAGTTCCATGTGCTAGTCACCCGACTAAAACTCCATTTGAGTTCATCTTCGGGAAGAAGCCTGACCTCTCCGAGATGTGTGTATTTGGATCAAAGGGATATGCACATGTCGACAAGTCGAACAGGACCAAGATGACCAAGAAGGCGATTCGATGTATTTTTCTAGGTTACTCGGATCAAATCAAGGGGCTTCGAATATGGGATGAAGATGCCAAGAGGGTGACGCACACGAGATCGGCTAAATTCGATGAGAGACCACCACTTCAGTACGTGCAACATTACAGCAGATCAAGTGACCAAGAGTTTCGCGCTGTTCATGACAAAGACACTGTTTCTATCGATTTAGAACAGCCACGAGTCACGAAAGACATGGATATAGCAATGGAGGACAGTCACAGTGTTCAAGAAGAGAGTCACATGCAAGACAGGCGTACAACAACGATGGCTCTACCATCAAGATGCAGTAGCAAGATGCCTGAACACGTGGGTTCCAATGCTGACGATCCAATGTTTGAAATTGATGATGTGACGATGATTGAAGAAGATCAAGAATCGGCTGAAGAAGTGTCAAGACAAGGACAGATGGTGATACGACCAAGTCGACAGACAAGTATTCAAGCATCGCAAGAAACCGCGATGGTTCCACTAGAATCGGTTCAACATGGACAATCTCAAGCGTTAATACCAGTGAATGGTGCTGATGAGGACTTTTATGACGGCTCAGAAGTGTGTCAAGAAAAAGGCACAAAGAGACTACGTATTGGGTATGAGCAAGCATGTGCAGCGTTCGAGACCCCAACGACATACGAAGAAGCTCTTAAGTCACCTCGTCGTGATAATTGGTACAAGGCCATTCAAGCTGAGCTCAAGGCATTAGAGGAAAAGGACACCTGGACTGTTCAAACACAGCGTCCAAACCAGAAAGTGATTGGAACCAAGTGGGTGTTCGCACTCAAACGAAACGAGCTGGGTGAGATTATTCGATACAAGGCACGTCTTGTAGCACTTGGCTACAGGCAGACGTATGGAGTTGACTACATGGAGACATATTCACCTGTGGCAAACCTCAACTCAATACGGGTGTTTTTGGCGGTGTGCTGTCAAAAGGGGATGTTGATTCATCAATATGATGTCGACACTGCTTTTCTGTATGGCGTTTTGGAAGAAGAGGTATACGTATACCCTCCTCTGGGTGTTCGTGCAGAACATAATCAAGTGCTTAAGCTGAATCGCAGTCTGTATGGGCTGAAACAAGCGGCCGCTACATGGTACAAGACAATTTCGTGTGTGTTTGTGGAGATGGGGTTCTCTTCATGCGTGGCAGACTCATGCATTTTCGTCAAAGAGACCAAGGGCTCGTGGATTTACGCTGCATTATATGTGGACGACCTTCTAATTGGGGCTGAATCTACTGGAGTGATGGAAGATGTGGCAGCTCAACTATCAAGTCGTTTCCAGTTGAAGATACTAGGGGGTGTTCGATACGTTCTTGGAATCGAAGTCAAGTACCTGCGCAACAATCGACGTCTGAAGATCAGTCAAGGATCGTGTATATCAAGAATGGTCGAGAAATTTAATCAAGTTGATGCGAAAGCAGTGTCAAATCCAAGTGTTGAAGGGCAAGCGATGGTCAAGATGGACAAAGCTGACACAAGAATGAAGAATCGACCGTATCGATCGTTAGTGGGGTCGTTGTTGTATGTGGCAACAGGCACACGACCAGATATTGCGTATACAGTATGTCAGCTGAGTCGTCATTTGGAATTTCCACATGAAGAGCACTGGAATGCAGCGATTCGAGTGTTGCGATATCTGAAGACGACGCAGAGCAAAGGAATTTGTTATGAAGGAGTTTCAGGCAATCTTCAGCTGAGCGCGTACACCGATGCAGACTGGGCAAGTAACAAGTGGAATCGCAGATCGATTTCGGGAGTTTTTGTCATGATTAATGGCGCACCTGTGATTTTCAAGTCGAAGATGCAGCAGAGCGTGGCACTGAGCACGGCAGAAGCAGAGTATATGGCTCTTTCTTTATGTGTGCAGGAGGTTCTGTGGACAAGAAGTCTACTCAAGGAGATGCAAGTGCAGATTAACTATGCTGTCAAGATTCACGAAGACAACCAGAGTGCAATCGCTATCGCTAAGAACGACGGCTATCAAAGTCGAGCGAAACATATCGACATCAGATACCATTTTGTGCGCGAACAGGTGAAAGACAAGATTATCGACCTGCAGTATACTGAAACCAAGTCACAGCTGGCAGATTTTCTGACCAAACCGATTTCGACAAAGAAGTTCGAGTCGCTGCTGGACAAGGCCAGGATCAGAGACTTCTAGTCGAGGGGGAGTATTGGTAATGGTGTTGGTTACTGATACTAATGACCATATGTCATGGACGACACTGTGTGATAGTGTGTAACGATGGGATCGACTCATCGTTTTGTTACTAATATTATAGAGTCGATATCGATAGGCTTAGAGTAGTACAACGAGACGAACTAAGGACCTAGCTAGATGATAATTCACTTTCCATTTTACCTTCTTCTAAGCTCTCCCACCTCAACTCGCTCTTGGCAGTTGCCAAAAGTCAAAAGTGTAATTCGTTTCCTTCTTCCCCTCGCTCCAAATACCACGAAGCCCAGACTGCTCGAGCAAACTTCGCCTCACTTCCATGTGTACCCCCAGTAAGTCGCGTCGGGCTACGTGTGTCGACCACGTCTCTGCCTCACTACGTACACACTGAACGCGCACTGAAAGTGCTAGCGCTTGGATTCGGCAGCAACATTGCCCTTTCCACCTCTTGTAACACTCCCGGTGTTCAAGCGAAGCGTTCTCGCACCCTCATGTGCTGTCCTGTGTACCGCCTCGATTGCTTCTTTCGCATGTATGAATCACAAAAGGAGATGATCCGCTTCTACGTTACAGATCTTTTGTGCAGACCTTCGCTCGAAAGTGTCACTCCATCATCACGTTCACGTCACCTCTTACTTGCTTTTTGGCGAAAATCGATCCTTCATGTGGACCGCACCGCACGTGAGTGGCCGCTAAACCAAGACCTCGACGACTGACATCCACTTCTCCTTTATTGAGTGATTGTCTGAGAACCATTGGGATACTTCTAGGGGGAAACGGCCGTAACAGGTTACCTTGACGCCGTTGCCTAGCGCTGAAGACAGTCTGCCTGTCATCAGTTTCTCTATTCTCATTCGTACATCGTCCTCGTGGTCAGTTGAACTGACTCTGGAGCTCAATTCGACGATCGTGTTCGCATCAGGCCGACGATGTTCCGTCTCAGTAGCTCGACCGTAGCTGGCACGAACTTACCGCTAAAGCCGATCCTGCCAGCGTGACTGACCCACGCCCAGAGTGCCGCCAACACAAAACTTTACTACTATATTATCGCGGCAACCGTTCGGCTCCATCACTCCAAGCTTACTCCATCGCGTTTTAGACAAAGCGCACACAGAGCTCACCCGCGTGCACGAATGCATGGCGATACTCGAAACAAGACAACACCACCACATCCAACTTCTAGTTGGAAGCGTCATCTTTTGTGGTGTGCCTATCATTTATAAATAGAGAAGGCACTAGCGGGGCCAATCCCATTTCTCGTGAAGGCTGCGTCATAGGTTCGTTGACAGTGCGTCCATTGCAAGAAAGGATTACCGTCTAATCAACAATTGCATCACAACCGAACGTCACCCGTCAACGTCATGCCTTCGAACCGTGCAGAACCTCCGCGCGTATATGCAGCAGGCGACTTCAGCTGGATGGAGGACGAGCGCTACGGCGGGAAGAAGTCATTATGGACGCGTGTGAAAGAAGACCCGCTCGTGCCGTTGGGCTGCGTTGGAACCGCGGCCGTGCTACTTGGCGGACTAGTGACGTTTCAGCGCGGACAGTCCAAGCTGGGAAACAAGTTCATGCAGGCACGAGTGGTGCTGCAGACGGCCACGGTCTTTGCAATTGCAGGAGGTGCTGCGCTGGCGGCTGGAGAGAAGAAGGAGACGCAGAAGCGAAGCTACGAGGACCGCATGCAGATTGAGCTGTCGAGCAAGTAGAACAATGAAAGAGGTAGATGCTACATGCAATTGGAGAGGATGCTCAGCCGCATGGGCATGGGTCTTTGCTGGTAGTAAAGAGCAAGCACATTTTATTTGTCTTCGACAAACTTTTTCTATAATGCAAAGTCAACCGTTCCATGCTTTCGTTAAAAGGTGTTTAATCGTTTACACGTTTTAGCGTTAATGTCGAAATAGTGACTAAATGAAATGTCAATTAAGGGTGGAAAGTAAGCACGTTTATACAGCCGAAACAAAAAAAAGCAAAACTAGCATCACTCATCCACAATTGGAAAGTTGTGAAAGTCATGAGACCGCCACTTATTTGTGCACATCAGAATGCACACAGGTTTACGAGCGGAACCAGTCCTGAGAAGCGAATTGGATCTAATCAAAATTTCCGGAAAGGACATGAACAGTCATGCCACGGGTATCTCATTTGAATTTGCAACTTTCTTTTCGTGAAAAAAAAAACTTAATGTAAGCGTTTCCCCCTTTCTAAATTTCAGATACTTAATGCACGAAGTCTCGTGATTTGGCAGTACAAGGATAAGAATTTAAAAATGAGCCAATGCATTCTAGCAAATTAGGCTTGCAGCAAGGTTGCATCTCAAGTAGCCTAGAATGCAATCCCTCTCATAATCAATCAGCGCGCCGATCCAGAATCTATGACAAATTACGAAATTCCTGCCAAAAGCCCGATAGGTGTTTAAAATCCAAAACTAGAGGAAGGCATGTCAACTTGTGTGTTTCAATGTCAAACAGGACATGTTTTACTGACTAAAAAAATTTATCGAGGTCAAGGTCTAGGTGTTTTCCTCTTAGCCTATCTGAGGACATCGTCAAGATCTCCAGTGGATAGCCGCAACGCTTCCAGAATTCAAACAAGCTGTGTAGCATCATCATTTACGTCGGGGGTAGTTCATTAAATGAGGAAGCCATGGATGCGGCATTTGCCTGGACTTGAGGCTGTAATTGCTCGCTATGCGCCCTTAGATGTTTTCAACACATGGACAAAACTAATGTGTAAAATTTATGAGCTCTGCATTCAGGCTAAAATTGTGCCTTACTAAAAACGATTTAGACCTATTTACAACCTGAAAAGAGAAGACAGTTTTATCGAAATGCTTGAGGGGCTCAAGAAGTTGAAGGTCCGACTTAAGAAGTTGAAGGTCCGATCTAATGTAATTCCTAGGAAGAGTTTGGAATTTGCAAGCTTTCAGTTCAACACCAGTTTATCTTTCTTTCAAATATGAATACGGATCTATACTGCCTTCACGGACAATGCGGATGGCAGTCCGGATGTCCGGCTGCAACCACTTAGAGAACTCTTCATTCTTGTACATACTAGTTTAAATATCTCAGACACTAGTTCCCTCCCTTTAATTGAGCATTATGTACACATATATATGGTTTACTAAAGTTGTTCTCGAATTGCTTGGAAAAATCATGAAAGTTTGCGTCCGACGTGGCTGGGTGTCGGTCGTACCAGACTCGCTGGATCCATTGAGCAATGGGGCTCAGCAAACCCTCCAATATAAAAGTGCCTTCACGTAAATTTTGATGTATGCGCACTCTAAAATATGAAATACACTACCAACACTGAAGCGAAAACATCAAGCGAGGGGTGCTTAATATAGAAGCGAGTGACATTCTGAAGCCAGAATAAGCGTGTGTTGTCCATCCAGTCCCGTACGATATCCGTCGATGGTGCTAGAAGGGATTCAACACTGCTTCCGGTAATTATATCATTACCTTTTTATGAAAAATGTCACCTTCCAAACAATCATACAGCTGGTTGCGAACAGCATTCGGATTCTTAAAATTACTGCTGCTTGAAAGTCTTAAGCGCGCAGTGTTATGTCACAATTTTTATAAGTTAATGAAAAGACTTGTCCAGCTCGAAAATGTTCTCTCATTCATCAGCAGCGTAAACATTGCAGCATCGGTATACGCGGCAACCTCAGTGGAGTATCTGGCGGTAAAATCTAGCTTTATTTAATCTCTTCAAGCATTGGAAGCTATACTTCCGGGCCAGGAAGGTCATTTCAATGGTCATTCAACGCCGCGATTGGCATCATGTGGTATATATCATCAGGTTGCACTCGTGTTACCAGCCACAAATTTTTCATCGGCCCCGAGGTAGAAGAATGTGCCACCGATAGCGCCCTTTAAATGCGTAGGGGCCTTTTTAAACCATTGCCACTTTGTACCGAACAGAAGAGCGCCGACAGCTCATCCCAAAGTGTTTTTCTCTCCATTGTCATGACAGCATCATTGTCGCACAAGGTGCGATAATTCTAGTACGTGTAAGTACACTTCAGCCACAGAGCAATTACCTCTCGCGTATAAGCTTGCTGTTGGGCGCTTGCTGGTTTAACTGATTGAACACTTACTGCGTTTGTTGCAAAATACATTGAAGCAAGCGCACTGTGAAATGTGTCGGATAGAAAAGATAAGGATTTCAAAAATCGTTCCTCATCGTTTAGCTAGATGTCGTCATTCTTAATTATGATAAGCAACGTTTAGATCCACGATTTCCGGCACAAATAGCGTATTTATATCCATAGAAATCTTGGCCGGGTAGGGGGACGCCCTCCCGGGAACCTTACGCCAGCGTGATGCTGTCTCAGGCCTTCCGACGGGTGCATCACAGCATCCGTCAGTCTTTGACAAATCTTTCCTTCAACACACCTCTCTCCACCCTCTCTCACCCCCAGCTGCTAGCCAAGCCGCCACGACGCACGCAGCCCCGTCCGAAGTCCCGCCATCCCCGCTTAGGTACGTTTAATGTGCAATCCATTAGTTCCCAGCGCAAGCAGCATGAGACCCTTTCTCGGGATCTGTCCAGATAGAAGATCGACATCCTCGGGATCCAAGAAACTAGTATTGCTTTCCAAAGCGAGCAAAAGACCGGTTGGTATCATTTTTTGACACTTCCATGCTCTATCCGTTGGCAAATGATTAATTTCGCCGTCGCCCCCCATTTACGCAGCTTTTTTTTACAACTACTGCGCCCAGACCGACCAAGTTGGAGTCCTCCAACTACGTCTGCCTAAAGTCCAACGAGTGAACATTGTTAATGAATTTGCGCCCCACAGTGGGTAATCTGTAGAAGCCATCGACAGCTTCTACGTGGACCTGACCACAGCGCTCTCTAAGCTCCCCCAACGCGACACGACTATAATCCTTGGTAATTTCAACGCCAAAATCGGTCAACGCCGCGACACCGAATCATTTCTCGGGAAATGGGACCGTGGCCGAAGGAACCGCAATGGCCATATACTCGCCTCTTTCTATGACGCTAACAATTTTTTCATTACTAATACAGCATTCAGAAAACGCGCGCGCAACATCACGACATGGACACTTCGACTCAAGAACCACTGCACCTTCAACCAAATCGACTACATCATCTGCAGTCAACGGACGAAGAAAATTATGCAGCAACGAAAAATCTTGGGGTGGAACTCTCACACCGTCGGACCCCAAGCTCGTTACGCTTGACTTCGATCTCCGCGCCATCCGTGGACTCCGCCGACGTCAAGAGCAAGCACGTAGCAGCGCAGCTGAAACGCGCTTGGCGGCACATCTTCTTGCCCATGACAGCAGGTATCGCACCTTGCATCGACAACTTCTTGACAAAAACCTTGCTGACCTCCCGCAACAACGGAAAATTGCGAACCAACACTGGACAACCACGCTTCACTCTACACTCAAGGCTGCGGAAGACTCTGTCGGCTACATGCCGCTGGTCCACCATATTAAACAGGTGGATCCCGACCTTTTTGCGTCTCTCGTACGAACAGCGTCATCTTCGGCAGCTTATCTACAACGACCACACGCAAGACGTCACGGCTTACGTACCAAACGTAATCGACTTTTGCACCGGATCCAGACACGCAGCAAAGCTCTCGCTAGATCTCTTATCGACGAGAAACTCGCCGTAATTGTACTGTCAATCTGTTTCTACTCACATGTTAGAAGCTATGTGCGCCCTCTTTCGACGGCGCTAACCATTGACTTCATAATGTGACTCTACAGGTAAATGTATTCTCATCCCTCACGGAGCAGGTATCAAGATTTATCAACTCGCAGACCAGTTCTCAGACCCCACGCGCATGCCCGTCGCCGACGACGGCCTTCAACGCCCCCTAAAGAACCCGATTACTGCATTTGAGCTCAAACGCGCGTTCCGTCACTTATGCAATAGACGCGCATCGGGCCCGGAAACCATCGCTATCGAGTTACTCAAGTATGGATCAGAGCTACTAGCTCAACCCCTCGCCGACATTATCAATTACGGACTCGCCACAGGAGACAACATTAACCTGGGCGACGGGATTCTTCTCGGACCCCCCAAGCCAAACAAGCCGGCTGGCCAATGCGCCAGCCTTCGACCCATCGTCCTACTCAACAGCATCCGTAAGGCGATCTCTTTGGTGGTGCTTCGCCGCATCTCCCCCAAGGTCGAACGCTTTCTATCCCCGCACCAAAGCGGGTTCAGACCCAGCCGCAGCACTGCTGATGCAGTGTGGGCCCACAGATGGATAGCAGCACGTGCTCAGAGGTACAGAGAACGATTTCATATTCTTGGGATCGACCTCTCCCGTGCTTTTGACACCGTCAACCGCGAAAAACTTCTCTCCGTGCTCGAGCCACTTCTTGATGATGACGAAATTCGACTGATCCGACTACTACTACGGGACACAATGCTCTCCCTCCGACTCGGCAATCGCCAGCTCTAGCCCTTCGAGAGCAATACAGGTACTCTCCAAGGTGATTCACTGTCCTCTGTTCTTTTTGTTGCATACCTTGAAGCAGCTTCACGAGACCTAGCCATCCAACTCGACGTAACTCACGATCTTCTCGCTGACATGATCGTGTACGCCGACGACGCCGACTTCGTCTGCCAGAGCGCTGAATTAGCATCCCTGATCGAGACTTAAGCCCTTGCTGTTCTGGCCAACTGGTCGCTCCCGATGAACACGTCCAAGACCGACCACATCATCGTACGCCGCAGCCCCACAGCGCAGTCCAAGCGGATTACACGTGCCAAGGATGGATACTGGCGCATTACGCGCAAATTAGGTTCTCTCCTCGGCGGCGCAGAAGACGTCTCCCGCCGCAAAAATTTAGCGTCCGCCACGCTCCACCGCATGTGGAAAGTTTAGCTCCGGCCATCGAAGACCTCGAAAACTACGCGCCTCCGCCTCTACAACTGCTACATCTTGCCGATTCTGCTATACAATTGCGGTACTTGGGCCCTTACCAATTCCGTGCTACGCAGCGTCGAAAGTTTTCATCGCCGACAGCTCCGTAAAGTGATCGGAGTCCATCATCCAAACACGATCTCCAATGACCAGCTCAACGTCCGCACCAAGACTGAACCACTTTGCTTTCACTTGCTTCAAAGCCGATGGAGACTTCTTGGCCACATTCTCCGCAGACCAGCAGGTATTCCAGCCTACCGCTTCATGGAAACCTTCTTCAAGCCCAGTGAGGCTGGCAAATGGAGAAGCAGACGCCGACTAATGCTACCGATGGTTCTAGATGCCTACCTTCAAACACTTTTGCGCAGGACACCGCCTTCAACGTGCCCCAGACCTGCACCTCCTTCGTCTATGTGCTCAGGACCGCTCAGCCTGAGAGGACTTAACCGAGGCGCTTTTAGCGCACGCGGCGCCTGATGGAATCTGACCGAGAGAAGAAAGAAATGTAGAGAATGAGAGATACCCCGACGCATGCGGAAGTTGAGCCAATTTTGTGGCAAGACGGCTCGCGAAACGCGATTTCCATACATACATATATAGAGAAGACAGAAAAGTGATTGATACGGGAGCAGGTTCGTCGGTATAAATTTCGAAGCAGTCGTTGATCCAGCAAGTTTCTTTAGTATAACGACGAACGCAGCAAAGAGACAGCGAGGGAGGCACATGATAGGAACATAGATGGATGTTTGACCGTCTGATAATAATAGAAGCAATGCATTTGCAAAGCCTTACTTACGCGGTATATTATCTATCGGCGTTGACAACACAAAAGGTAAAACTCCGGTACGTGTGACAAATGAAAAGCATTTTATTTGCCATATCTGTTGGAAGTGCATAATGCACTGTTTTTGACTCCAGAGATTCGACCCATGATAGGTTATGTGTAGAATGTTCTTTAGGGTTCTATGCATTATAATAGGTCGTACAGCAGCTAGATGTACATATAGTTCACACTTGTAGATTGGCAAACCACTGATGAGGCCCCCGGCGGGGGGCCAAAACGCGTATGGTGCGCGGTAATATACAAGTCGTTTACTTTAATAAACTCCTACTTTTAACAGGCTAACAGCCGCAAGGGTGTTGACGTAACTACTATCGCGAGACAAGCTCAAGCCATGACCATCAAGAGCTCCGAAGTCCTCCTGGAAAGTGGTAACCACTACCACTGGGAATACAACATGCGGATGACACTAGCGCGAAAGGGGATACTGGCGCATGTTGAGGTCGTGAAGCTCGAGATCACCGAGGCGTGGCTTATTAACGCTGCTAAGGCTCTTGGAATCATTGCTCAAGGTGAGAAACTGCAGCACCATACCAAGATAAGGTCTGCGACACGTGCTATCCACGCATGGGCTACGCTACGAGACTTTTACAATTGCTCACACTTCAGAACCGTGTGAACATGACGCGCCGTCTGCACCAGTTTAAGATGAAGAGCACTTCGACTATGGCCAAGTATCTGGATGATTTCGACGAGCTTGTCGTCGGATTGCAGACACCGGGAGAGCCCTTCGATGAAGCTCGATAGCTGGTAGTGCTATTAAGCAGTCTTAGTTCTGAGTATGAATTACTTTCAGCAATCGTGGAGAACACCAAGGATGTGTCTCTGATCGAGGTGAAAGAGAGGCTGCTCAAGGAATACGAGCGACTAGAAAATAAGGACACCACCATGGAGAAAGCGTTTCAAGCTAACGGGAATGCTGGAAGGTTCAAAGGGGGCAGAGGACACGGTCGGAAGGGGATCTCTGCAAGAAAGAATGGTGGTGGATACAAGGGCAAGTGCTTTGGGTGTGGACAAGTTGGTCATATGAAGCGTGACTGCCCTGTGCAGAAAGGCGACAGTGGGAATGGTGCTGTTTTTGCTGTGAACGAGAAACGACTCGACGGTTGGCTGATTGACAGTGGGACTACATTGCATATGACTCCGCATCATTCCGACCTGTTCGACTACAAGATCCTGAACGATGGCATTGATGTAACGATTGCCGATGGCAAGAAGTTACGCGTTTATGGAAAAGGAACAGTGAGGCTGACTGGGTTCAAATGAAGATGATAAATGTATTGCACATTCCAGGACTTGACCGACGTCTATTGTCAGTTGGAAGTTTCGCTGAACACGGTCTAAGTGTCAACTTTGGGCGTTTGTCGTGTATTTTTTGGGACGACAGAAGTGCAATTGCTGTCGGAAAGAAGATGGGCAAAGCGTTCATGCTGGACTCTCAGCAGGAGGAAGCAAGAATTGTGCAGTACTCGGGAGCAGACAGTAAATGGGAGCTATGGCACGCTCGCTTGGGGCACCCAATTGAGGACGCAATGGCCAAGACACAGCGTTGCACTAAAGGAAGTCCTGCGGTAAAGCAAGGTATCGAGACGCTATGCGGACGCTGCATGAAAGGAAAACAAACCGTAGCCTCCTTTACATCAAGAACACTGTCAAAACATCAATACTATTGGAATTGGTCCATACCGATGTGATGGGGCCAATGCGAACATTTTAAAAAGGAGGTGCCAAGTATGTGCTTAAAATCGTGGACGATACTTGCGGTACGTTGTGGCGCATTTCATGAAGAACAAGAGTGAAGTTGCCGGTAAGCTGAAAGAGTATCAAGCGCTGTATGAAAATCAGTGGGCAAAGCGCATGAAGTGTCTAAGGTCAGACACTGGAACGGAGTTTGTGAACAATACCGTGGCTGATATGTGCATGCGAAAAGGAATCATGCATCAGTGATCTGTCCCGTACAGCCCTCAACAAAATGGAGTGGCTGAGCGTATGAATTGCACAATCATGGAGAAGGCTCGTAGCATGCTACACTTCAAGGGTGTTAGTATGGAATGGTGGGCAGAGGCTGTGAGCACAGCAATATACTTGATCAATCATTACACTAACACAGCATGCTCAAACTCGACTCCATTTCAGTTGTCCTACGATAATAAGTCTCGTCTGAACCATTTGCGCGTATTTGGGTCGCAGGGGTGCGCCCACATTGAAGATGTAAAGCGGACAAAGCTCGATTCCAATAGCTTTCGCTGTATGTTTTTAGGGTATGCTGATAATGTTAAGGAATATCGTCTCTACGACTTGGACAATCTTAAAGTCAAGACATCACGTTCTGTCAAGCTGGACGAGCGTGAGGTGGTCGGTATATACGACACGCGGTCGCCGCAGCTTGAAACAATCGTCCGTGTGACCACTGAACATGATGATGAAAATCTTTCACCTGTGGAGATAGAGCAATTAACGGACGAGCCCATGGAAGTCGATGAAGACCCTGGCATGGATGTGGAGATGGATAAGGTGGATAAGATGGAACACGAGCAGATGGTTAATTATCCTCGACTCTGGTCATCAGGACCTACACCAGTTGGGCATGAACTGACTGAATATTCTCCTCCGCAGCCAATTTTCGAGGAAGACCGGTTGGTGTTTCACCCTGAGACAACATTCGCAAGGCGATCCAGGGAGCCAGCATTGCTACTCGAGGACGAGAAAAATGATGACGAAGCACAAAAGCCAGAATGGAGAGATGGACCACCATCACCAAAGCGTGCCAGAATCGACGATGAAGAGTTGCTGGCTGAGGCAGCATTATTATATGCTGCAAATTTTGACGGCATTCCAGACACACCAAACACGTGTGCAAGATCCATTCCTAGTGGTGAGGCAGATGTATGGAGCAAGGCTATTGATGCAGAGCTTCATTCTCATGCCCAAAATCACACGTGGACTCTCTTTCGACGTAAAAACTACAATCCGTTCGATTGGGTGCCGTTGGGTTTTCGCTAAGAAGCGGGATGAGAGCGGTCAAGTTATTAGATACAAGGTTAGACTGGTGGCTCGAAGGTTTAAGCAGAAGTTTGGGGTCGACTTCTTCGAAACATACTCGCCGGTGGCCAAAATGAACTCAATTCGAGTTGTGCTTGCTGTGTGTGCGGCACACGCCTACATGATGGAGCAACTAGACGCTAATATAGCGTTTCTGAACCGTACGTTGGTGGAAACCGTCTACATGGAAGCTCCATGTGGTGCGAAGAACGCTAATGGCATGAAATGCAAGCTGAAAGAACTATCTATGGGCTAAAATAGGCAGCAAGCGCTTGGAACAAGAAATTCGTCTTGTGTCCCTGCTTAACGACTTCAATAGCTGCGGTGCCGATCAATGCGGTTACGTAAAGCGTGCTCGAGATGGCATCGTGCATGTGCCTATATGTAGACGACATGATCATTGCGGCAAAAACAAGCGTTGAGATTCAAGAAGTCAAGAAGGCGCTCAATTACGCATTCAGGATGAAGGAGCTGGGTGCAGCAAAGTTCATTCTGATAATGAAAATCAATCAAGATTTCCATGAAGCGCGGATGCAGCAGTGAGGATAAAAGGCGGGTGAAGACCCAAGTGGTCTGCATCTCATGTCGTCGAGGGGGAGTGTTGGAAGTGCATGATGCACTGTGTTCGACTCCGGAGATTCGACCCATGATAGGGTATGTGTAGAATGTTCTTTAGGGTTCTATGCATTATAATAGGTCGTACAACAGCTAGATGTATGGATAGTTCTCACTTGTAGATTGGCAAACCACTGATGAGGCCCCCGGCGGGGGGCCAAAACGCGTCTGGCGCGCGGTAATATACAAGTCATTTACTTTAATAAACTCCTACTTTTAACAATATCAGCTTAAGATATGTAACTGGTCAACTGCTTTCACATCACTTGCTCTTCTTCTTGTGTCACTCGTGACAGTGGTAGCCACATCATCCCGAAGACGAACCGTCGCCTTATTTCTCACCTCCAGCACTCCTCGTCGAAGACAAGCTTCAGACGTTGGCTTCGTCCACGAGAAAGATCATTCTTTTGTCATAATAGTCCTGGTCGGTAAATCAGCTAGTTTTACTTGTTTCAATATGCTGTAGCGAAATAATCGTGTTCTCGACTTGATCACATACACGATGATAGCGTATATCAATGTTCTTCTCACGACTTTGATACCTATCGTTTCTCGCAACTACAATTGCACTTTGATTGTCCTTTTTACAACGACTGTAGCGTCAATAGAGGCCTACATCTCTAGCAGTAGATTCTCTGACCCAACACCTACTAAATGTACAACGAGACTGCCACATCTTCGACATATGCAGTACTTATGCACAATGCGTTGTAGTTTCAACTTGACAATAACTAGGGACTCGTTAACTAGCACCAGGCGTCTGATGTCGAACCAGTCAGCATCACTATGCACTCATTTTCAGCAGGCCTGCTCCAAAATCACAGTACACTTGTTAAACCGACTTCGTGTAATGAATCACGCGGTAGCCGCATTCTGGTGCTCTTCGTTTGGCTTTTACAGGTGTCGACTTGATTTATACAATTCGAACGCAGCTTTGGATCTTTTTCCTGTTGCCGTATATAGAAGTGGCTCCATCAGAGATATAAATAATTCTCCATTCGTGGGTCCTTCCTTTCACACTTTACCATAATTTGACCTCCCGGAATTGGATCGTATACCGATTTGCATCAAATTGGTTGAGCCTTTCTACCATTAGGTGATACATGCGCTCTGATTGATTTTATGATGATTCGCGACCATCTACTATTCCACTTCAATACCCTAAAATTGCACTTATCTCAGTATATTGAGTTGGAAATGGCTCGACACTTTAACTGCACCCAACTTGCAAAGGGGTGACACAAACGGTTGCGATACCTAGGTACGCTGGTGTGAAATACACAGTAAGGAATCGGGTAAATGGTATCCATTGTAATAGGGTCTTTAAAGGACGGTAGAGTGTTGGTGTGGTAACAGCGGCAGAAACTCCAAGAGGACTTTTCGATTAGGTAGCATAGTGTTAAGGTTAAATACGTAAGATATGTGGTGAAGTGCGTTCGAAAAAGATCATGGACCCAGAGACTACCAGGACAGAGGAAAAAGGGGATGTTTTCAAGGAAAACGCGCCTGGGGGAAGGAGTCACGAAAGGGGTCAAACACTCGGGGAGAAGAGACCGAAGAATACAACAAACTCTCAATGTAGATCCGGTACCCAAGAGTAGACCGCCTTATTTAAAGGTGGAACGTGGTCCCTCGCTAGAAGATTGGTCCCTCATTGGTAGACCTGGGTCTCACGATGATAGACATGTTTCCTCATCGGTAGATCTTATATCCTCATCGGTAGACCCTGGATCCTTGTCTGTTAACCAAGTTCCTTCTATACTCGGCTTCTCCTGACCAGTCAAAATAAGGAGCTAGAGGTAGGCAAGGACAGAGTAACGAAGTTAAAGGACAGGAAGATATTGAATAGTACTTAATATGCGATCCACGTGGCATGACTTCGTCTTGCGTAAGGTATTTGGTAAGTCTACCCGCCTGCTTCAAAAGGGAGATTTTTGAATCACCGTTGAAGAAAGTTGCGAGATAAGACTCAAGTAAAAAAGGAGGCCGAGAAAAAATTTAGCCTGTGAAATGTTTTAGTTGCAACACTCCTCAAGATTTGCTATCGTAGGTTACCTCCCTACCACGCTGTTGGAGAGCAAAGTAAAAGCCAGGAGGTTAAAACCCATGAGACAACAAGGAAAGGGACATTAGCGACCAGCTACCTGAAGAACTAGGTTATAAGTGCAATCTATACTAATTTGATCGAGTGGTTTTCTACCGACCAACCTACTGTAGCACATTTCTTGGGGACAGGTCTACATCCACTAAGACTAAAACATCTTCCTCGCCGTCCAAGTCGACCGAAGCGTGCGACCCTCCAGCCTATGGGTACTCAAGGTGAGTCAAGGTTCATACGCAAAATCGGGGTACTCCCGTAAGTCGGCAGTCCGGCGCAATTAGTGTTTTGGATGCTCAGCACGCTATTTTATAGCCCACTCCACCACAGTGATATTTTTATCGCTATCAAACAGTAAATACATTTTTTTCTCCCTTTTGACAAATCTAAGACACGTGTCTTTCTAAGACATCTTTGATCGTAAGCGTCAAGAGTGTGTATTGAGGCTAGTACTCTTGGCATTAGTGCCACGTAATCTCTTGGATTTACTAGTCCCCATACCAGGACTAGAAGCTTACGAGATTTTTAAGATGCTTAGAACTAAGCCACACTAACTCCGTTAAGACTTGAGACCTTTAAGTTTACCTCCATTTATAATTCATTAGAGACTACAAGAGCATGTACGTCTTCTCCTGACCTAATAGTTAGATTGGTTTCTCTACAACGATCCTGCATGTTATCTGAGAAACCGGGTTTAGGCTTTCCATTAGCATTCTAATACATGCCAAAAAAGATCAAAAAATTTTTTTATATTGAACTTTAATAGGAACGTTCTAAGAATAGTAGCCCCCCCGCTTAGCAAACAAGATGAATTCCCATATTTTTAAAACCTGCTTAGGTCGCTCTATGCCCCTGTCCTCCCTAGCAGGCAAATTCCAGGATGCAATCTCTTTATCGCGACAGCTGAAGCTTGTGTATTCTTCGCGCTTCGCGATCGCGTGTCGTGTAAAAGGTGAACAGGATCTAGGTTCTGAGCATCGAAGTTCCCGTCCCTGCATTATGCGCCTTCTTGTCGGCCTATGCATAAGACTGGAGAATGATTGCGCGGGCGGTCATGTGGATGAAAAATATGGTTTGCGAACTGTGATTTGATAAAACCTTATTTCCGACCCGTGATGTGGGACGACTGACTGAGTTTGCGGCTCATCTGGTGATTCGTCGTCCTATATCTTTTAGAGAAAAGGGCGCGTCATTTAGTCGACGAATTTTTTTATTTGGTTGTATCGTATATTAAATTGTTGATCAATAGACGGACATGACTCTATCTTCTATGGTACTTCTAAAAACATCCACCACCGGTCGTTAATGAATAAGTGAAGTTGGTTGCAGCGGCTCATCGGAATGCATACAAGCGTGCATCAGATTCGCTGAAAGTTCTAGTGCTTCAGTTCTGCCGCTACATATTCGCTGTCACGCCGTTGGCTTTCACCCGCGCCATTGCAGGAGTCGTCGTCTCTGCAGCCCGTTTGAAAAGCGTATGGTCTTACTTATCTTTTCTATAGAAGTTCGATAGAAAGTAGCCTTTTCTTAACCTTTTTTAAATATTCTGAATATGGCCAATGGATAGCCATACCGTAACACAGTTTTCAGGCACAGGCTTAACGGCTGGGCTCACTTTTATTCGGCTGGGTAGTTCTGATTTGTTATCAGAAGTAGCTCAGAAATACGCTCTATTGAGTCAGGAGAAGATCCCAAATATGCGACTGATCTAACGAAGTCGCACTGGCCATTGGCTAAATTGGTTAATGACCTCCCATATGTAATACGGGAGACAAGTGTGGCTTCAGATTTATATCAATACAGAATACCGGTTAGTTTGTATTCTCTTATGGTACTTACCGTGGAAGTACTTTGTACCGTCATCATTTAATGACTGAGTGATGTGCCAACCATCCATTTCGTTCGAATACAAGTATTTGTATTAGTTCTAGTTTATTACAGTATAGGGTTTTTAAAGTAGGATTTTCCTTGATATAAAATCTAAATAAACTCAATTCTCATTTTGAGCAGAATTCCGTAGACTTCCACCCTTTCGCACATTGCGCTTGACAGTTCCTTAGACCTGTCGTGGGTTCGTTAGTCCTTAGAATCTGGTATTCCTCTTTGCACGTTGTGCGTGAAGTTCCTCAGAACTACAGTAGTCTGAGCTAACAGCTCATAGAGTTCGCACTAAGTTCCGTTGAACAAACCGACTCTTTAACTTGATATGCTAGTTCCTTAGAACTATTCGGCTTATAGCCCTCAGAAC